CGTGCCCCCCCAGAAAACGAAGCGGACGATGTTTCAGACCATGCTCGGTCGTACCGCGGCCTTAGTGAGCCTTTCATGCTCACCATTCGCCAGCTGAATGACAAGTCAGACGCAAAATTGATCTGGTGGTATATCGCTGCAGTCGATGAGAGCTTCAGTGGCAGCACACCATCAGCAGACCGCGATTTTAGAGCTGAGTTTTTCACATACGATGAAGCTTTGCAAAAGTTGACATTCCAAGATGATCGCAACGTCTTGACAAGGGCCATCACTTTGGTGGAAAGTTCATGATACAGTATCGCTTATTCTCTATGACCATAGTGAAGGGTCAAAGGATGTGGGGTCCAGATTGAAAGCGGTCTCACGACTTTACTATCAAACCAATTGCAAAGATGTCGTATATCGGATAGCTTCAGAATCTGGACAAATAGGACCGTAGGGTTCAGAACCCGTGATCAACATCCATGAAACCAAAAGCCAGACAATGAGAGATCTCTCCCAAATCAGGTCGTGACGTTTGGCGACCATCGTGATTTTCGTGCGAATGCTTCGTAAAGCGCGTCTTCACCCATGAATGGGCCGTTGATCGAGGGAAGAGATTGATCGCCCTGTCAAGGTTGTAGTTGTCTCAGCAACTTACCGGAATGCTGACCTGGCGGTTGTATGATCAGGCAAACAGGAGGGAAAACACGAGGAGAGCAGCAGTGACTAGTGGTTGGCTTATAGACATAGACTGGATTTGCATGCATGGGTAATGGATAGAGACTTGGTTTTTGCATTTCTATAATATAGGCTAGGGAAAGAAGATATTTGTCAGGGAGTCAGGGAGGGAAACTATATTGATGCCGGCCGGCGGATAGAAAACATTTGGCGATGTCCTGGTAATCACTCCTTGACTTGCGTAAAGTCCTTTTGTACACGGATTCCATGCAGAGGAATCTCATCGCTTGCGCTATCGACGTTCCTATCCTTCGATCCAAATACGTTTGTCACCATATGTCCGTGATCATACTCCGGCCGGAGGGAAGCATCCAACTGCTCCGGCGTCATGGGGTGGCCCCCCGCCGAATCCGATTCATCCGGGAGATTATAGAAGGAATGACGCCGGCTATGCGATGAGTGACCGACACCGCTGCCTGTGTGTCCTTGGGCTGTCAACTCGTTCTGACTGGGGTTCGACTGGCCGGTCTTGGACATGGGGGCTGTTCGGCTGCGCAGTAAGGCCGGCAAGGCGCCTTGGATGTTGAATATACGGACGATGGCCTGTAGGGCGGGTCGGAGGGTGGGAAGACAGGCGGAGACGATGCCGGCGGACATTTCGATGGCGGTCCAGCCGACGGTGGGAGCGAGTGTGTAGGATGAGTCGGCGGAGGTGTACGAGAAGAGGACGGTGAACCGGTAGGCCGAGGCGAAAACGACGCTGTCATCGATCAGCCTTTGATCATGTCACTGCGATGGAGCAAGACGAGACGTACAAGAATCCCAGACTGAATGCAAAGGTCAAGGCCAATTTCTCAGAGAGACGCAGCTGCAGTTTCCAGACTTGCGGCATCGGCAGAATGAGAATCGCCAGATCGGTCAGGATGGTCGATGCTGCGTTGGCGATCCATGTGCCGACTTGGTTGATGCACCGGCCCGGCAGACTGGGATACCACAGCTTCTGGACAGGGACACAGATGAAAATAAAAATAAACGTGATGCAGATGACCCAAAGAACGACAAAGGTGCCGATGATGTACGCCCAGCGCTTGAAGTAGGGGAAACGAAAGATACGGTAGTACATCAGCAGAATGCTGAGTTTGGTCCAGACCAGATTGAAGACATAGAGGATCTCGGCCACGACGAGGAACTTGGCCATCATGACCAGGTTGGAGATGGGGACGGCGGTGCCGGCATGCAGGCCCATGCCTTCTTTGAGCATGGCGAAGATGAAGCCGACGACGACCAGGTTCCAGCCCTGTGTATGTCAGTTGAGATTCCTCCTCAATGACTGTAAACCTACCATGGAGAACAAAATCATCCAGTCATCCCACCACAACTTCTGCTTCCTCTCCCATCGGGACAGAAGCCGCAGACAGACCATGACAAAGGCGAGCACCGTCACCGAAGCGGTGGTCGCAGTCACCCATGGTTGTAGCGAATCTTCGTGCTCTGCCATTCTGAGTGGTCACGACATGAGAGACTGCAGTGGGATGATCAACTGCAGGAGGAAGAACAAGAACATTATAAGCTTCTTGACCGACCTATCTTCTTTCGTACCTGAATCCTTCTGGCTGCGGGTCATGCCCAGACAGACAGAAGGATTCTAGTCCATACTCCTTTTGACAAATGCACCGCCTAGAAATTTCTTAGCATGATGGAATCATACTTCGATTCCGGATTCCGCAGGATTTCGGACAGTCTTTGGCTTGCAGCCACCAGGGAGTCGACAAATTCAGGGCCAGACTAACGAGTGGCCCCTTACTAGCGGGACGTTACCATTCGTGTTTAGGACGCTCATTCGACGGACCAAAGAAGTCAATTGGCCGTTGGGTGACCCTAGCCCATTACAGCTGCAGAATAGTCGATCCTCGCGTTCAAAGTGGGCCAAAAGCGTGGCAAAGTGGAGGGTGACGGCTGTGAGTCTTCACAAGAGCATTTCTGCCAGGCGTCTTTACGAAAGTCAAATCTAATAGTAGCTCCACGCGTCGTGTTTGAACTTTGAACTCTGTCCTGCCGTGGTTGTGGGGGACTATCCGGTGTTGAGAACTTACATCCGTATCTGTTGCCGGACATCCGTGCAAGATAAACGAAAAGGAATCCATGGTTATCATCTATCTATTTACGCCATCACTTATACTTGTTCACCATCTCCAACAGAGCAGCATTCACCTCCTTTGGATTGGTGGCATTCAGATAATGGGCTCCTCCCTCGATCATGACAAGTTTGGCCTCTGGGGACGAGATGAAGAGTTTGATCTGCTCTGCTGGCACTGTTTTGCCGAATGGAGTATCCTCGGTGCCCTATCGGCGCCAGTCTTAGCAGCATTCCTAAGATATCAGTCCCTAACGTAGGGGTGAACTCACCTGTAACCAGTGCACTGGACACTTGATGTCCCCCAGTCGGAGCAGTAGTCCATCGCGCGACAGCAGGCAAACCACCGCCATGCGGACCTTCTTTCGCCCTTCGTCTCCCTTGTAGACCTCCTTCAAGGTCTGGGTCCAGAACGCACTCAACTCCTCTGAAGCACTGGCGCCGAACCCGATACCACCGACCATGCCACACCAGACATCGTCGACCAGAAAGTCCGGGGTCGCAACAGCGCTGGTCCATTTCTCGTAGAAGGGCCGGAGGGCAGGGACAGGATCCCAACACCCTTTCGACCGGGAGTCGGCCGATTCGTAATCCATCGAGGTTCCCAATGGCATCAGGCCGAGGATCTAGATAGACAGTAGACAGACATCAGTTTCAACCGGCCTCCTCACTTGAGTCCGTACTTCACGTATGCAGGGGAAGCTCCCACCCGTTCGGGGGCCAACAAGGCCATGCGCGTCACCATCCATCCTCCCTGGCTCGTTCCCAGAGCGAAGGCCTTGTCAATGCCTAGTTTATCCATCACCTGCAGTGCCATCAACGCCGAATCCCAGTATGTAAAGTGTTCCGACGGGCAGCTGGTCGAGCCGTGGCCCAGGGGCTCGATGGCCAGCAGGTTCATGGCGTCTGTCAGGGCGACATCGCTGAACTGATCCCGGTAGAGGGAGACCGTGGTACACATCGAGTTGATCAAGACGCATGTCGGCTTGGAGGGGTCGTAACGGTCGTGGGACAGAGCATAACCGGCGGTGATGCCGCCCAGATGGGGCACCTGGATGGTCTTTGTTGCTGCCATGTTTTCGGATTCGTGATTTCAATACAACAATGGATGAACGGGGAGTGTCAAAATGTAACTCATCATATAGATAAGGGACCTGTCACCTCGTCGCCCCTCTCTGGACACGACCCGAGGTTCTGCAACCCCTCCAGATCATCCCGTTCCAGAACCAGATGGCACACAGGCAGAGGGGACTACTTCCCCTTCTGGACCAAATCCCGGTCGAGTGGGGATGAGCAGAAGAAGGCCAATGACACGCTGCGAGACGATATCCAACGCTACCTAAGTATCCATATTGTGCTAGTTTGATCCTTCTGGGCCTTGACCGTGGAAATGGGCGAATGGGACGCTTTCGGGCCGCTTCTGACACGCCGGTCCCTTCCGCGTAAATTCAAAAGGCCCACTGCGAGTCTGCGACAGAGACAAGAATTTGTCAGGACTCAACGTGCATCAAGATGTCCATGTCACTGGCCGTGTGAATTCACTAACAATGTTTGTGGCCTGACAGTTTGACGGTCCCTGGCTGAAGCTGGGTAAGAAGTCAGTCAAAAGTCATTTTGTTAGCTGGGGATGGAGTGGAGCATAGGCAACCAAGATTAGTCCCTGCTTCACTTCGTAATTTGAGTTCTGGCAGGTCATACGCGCATATCCGCAGGAGACTGCAGGATTGAGCGATGGCCCATGCCCATGGGACGAGGATGTCGATCCGCCAGGGGAATTCTCTAGGCGCAAAACAAACGCATCATGCAGACTATCTGCATGAACATCCAGTGCATGAATGAATAAGATAGATACCACAGGTTAATTCTTTTGTACATCTCAACTCAATCTGAAAGTGCGTAGAGCCCTCACGAAGCAAGGGATAGTCGATCGTTGCGATCGCACATGGCGAATATCAGATCAGTCAACATCGCGGGGAAGATGCTGTGACAGATACCCAGTATAGAGACAGGGAATAGACTGAAAGCGTGCATTGACTCCTCAGCAGTGCCAGATTTGAAGAAAGATTCAATATGTACCCACGCATTCAAACATCAGAAAGTGGCGAGTTCATTCTGAAGTCTTTGAAGAAACGAGATACAAAGTAAGCGCAGGTAAACATTTGCAAGGAGTTCAACCGAAATCTTGCTGATTAGTCGTAGTTGCAGCTCATGCAGTTCCTGGTAGGCGACGATCGATTGTCAGCCATAGATCGCGATAGAAACCGACTCCTCCTTTGATCACCAATCGAGCCTGTGGTTTGTCGCTCACAGTCTGGACATTGAATCGGCGGAAGAACTGAGAGACATGAGCATTAGTCAAAACAGTCAACGAGGAATACAAACTACCAACCTGCAATGGCCCTTTGTACAGCTCCATCATAGCAATATCCCTCCCCAGACACACCCGGGCCCCGTAGCCAAATGTGAAGCTATACTTGGTGTACAGCCTGGCCTTTTCGGCATCGAGCCAACGCTCCGGCTTGAACTCTTCCGCATCCTCCCCATACATATTCCTGTCTCGCTGCATGATCCACGGATTGCCTGAGATCTCCGTTCCCGCTGGCGCAAACTTGCCGTACAGATCCACACCAGGCTCCGAGACATACCGGGGAAGATGTTTGGAGCAGGGGGGTTGAGTCGCAGAGTCTCGCGAACACACGCCACATAAAAAGGAAGGTGGTCGACGATTTCGTCATATTGCGGAACACAGTCGGAGATCAATCCCTTGGCTGTTGCCGTGTCAATCTCCTCCATCATTCGACGGTAGGCGCTGGGATGGGTAAGCAGGAAGTTCATCAGGGCCTGGAAGACGGTGCCGGTCGTATCAGCCCCCGCAAGCAGCACTAGCAGCACTTCGGCCTTGAGATATTCGATGTCCAACGGGGACCCGTCTTCGGTGCGCGCTTCGATGAAGGTCTGCAAGAGGTCGATGCGACCGATATCTTTCTTCTCTTCGAGCTCGCGGAATCGCTGATCGATCAGGCGATCACGGAAGCGCATGAGGACGCCAATACCCGAATCGTCCTGGGGGGTGGCAACGAGGTACTTCTTCATGAAGGTGGTCTTCATCCAGCTGGTGAATGGGTGCAGACGAGCGAGGAAACCGAATGCGGGCAGACCATCGTGGAAACCCTGAATAAGCCCGCCTACGTCCTGGCCCTGCTCGACGAAACCAAAGGGGGCGCCAAAACCGATCTCGCTGATTATGTCGTACGCCATGTAGCTGCAGACATTTCAGGACAGTTAGTCCCCAAGTGTCGTTATCGTCATTGCGTCCGTTGAAGCTTACACGGCCCACCATGAGAAATCAAAAATCTCCCCTGTCTGAGCGAATTTCTCATTGAGCTTGTCAATCCAGTGTTGGATGCGAATGTCAATCAAGGGCTCCATCTTCTTCACGTTGGTAAAACTGTACTGCAGAGTGTCAACGCCGTGATTGTCGTTGTCGGTAGTCGCATTGCAGTCAACCTACAGGTCCCGCCACATGCTTTCGATAAGCCGCGTGCGTCTTATGCGATCGCATGTTGAAGAGCGACTCAGTCTCACCAAAGGTTCCGGTAATGTAGTGTCCTGTTTTGTCGGCATTGCGGTGGTAGATGTCCGGCAGCTTCGTCGGGTCGCTGACGACGAGAAGCGTGGGAGTTATGCGCACAACGGGGCCTACTCAGGCACAATTAGCGTCTGCTGTTGAGGAACTCGTCATATGATGGTGTACCGTACCATATTCCTTCGTCAAAGCATACACGGTTGGCAATTCAGTCTCGCGAAGATTGTGCCATGCAATCCAAAGTCTGGTCACCCCTCCCCAGAAAGGCCCGGGGAAGACAGACAATGGGTGGAAAAAGTGATAATAGACAATCTGGTAGGCAAATTTGAGCAAAACATACGCCACAAGACCCAGAACCACGTTGGTCGCGGTGATTCTGGCCAGTAACTCTTCCCCAAGGCCCATGGTGGTGACTCGACGAGTGGGATCGGTTCAAGACAAGGGAGAGCTGCGCCCGGAAAACACTGAAACCAAGGCCTTGCGATCAATTTTGAGGTCAACTTTCCTCTAAGCCAATGCGTCCTGATTGCGACCGCGCAAAGGCCATGTGGATGCCCCATAGTATCGGCGAAGAGGGGGTGGATGAGCTCTCCCGCAACGCGCCGGATAGAGTCAGTGAGCACGAATTATACAAAGCCATTTTCTCATACGGTCGCGTTAGCGGGACTGCTTGAGTCTCGGTTCGAGGTGGCAGCAGGCTGCGTAATTCACGCAGCGAGTTAGAGGTGCAAAAGCAGGGTTGATCTTGGCCACGGTGCGACAATAGTACACCAACTAATGTATGGAGGCGGATGAAGCTGGCAGTCATTGGAACAGTCAATGACATCCCTGCTCTTCGATGGACCTTTGTGTAGTTAGCCAGACGGAGTCCTCGCCATATAAAGTAGGAATCAACGCTCTTGACTCGAAACTCTTGTCACTGGATCTGCAGACCCAGTTGTTGATGGTCGAGACCTGAGACAAGAGCATGGCAGGTTTCGCCATGACATCCCAGTCTGAACTCGATGGGGGAAAGTGGCCGAGACGACCGTTGGCAGATAGGCAATTCCGGCCTCTCTCCGCTATTATCAGTTATTCTGGTAGCATGATAGGTTGATGTTGAGTGCCGATGTCATGCCAACGGTGGATATGGAGCTTCATGTCTCTTTGCACTTCGCGTACGAAGCGAGGCGGAGTAACGAGCAGTCAGCGTGGTCTGACTCGTAAGGATTAGGGACTTTTGGCCTAGTCGACGAAATAAACAGAAATGTCGTCTCCTCTCCTATAGACTCATGCCTTGAGGGTGAATGATGGACACGTCCAGGTTGGCGTTGCAGTGGAAACTATCTCCGACTCCAGTTATCCAGAATCAACAGCGAAAAAAATATTGGTGACGATCAACAGCAATCGCAAAGCACAATTACCTCTGGTATAATTGCTGGAGACACCCACAGAATCAGCGGAGAGCATCTGAATGGAAAGAGTTGGGGGCCGATACCTGTCTATATACGTCTACACAATGATGGTCAGAGGTGCAGCTATTCTCCGGAAGAAAAAATGTAGATATTCCTGATTCATGATACATCTACTAGTATATTCGACTTGTCTTGAGCGTTGCTTTTTCCTGCATTCCTTCTCCCTCCGCCACAGCCGCTAGTCTCATGGATTATCCACGTACTTTGTATCGCAGTCCATATATGCCACACGGTCATCTACCATATGTACTCTAGGTTATAAGGACATCTGAAGATAAAACTGATCTTGATCCCGTCTTGTGGGGACAATCTCAGCTCAAACTCTCCTCTTTATGGCAATGGCAGAAGAACCTATTTCAATTGCTGTCTGTACGCTAATCCACTATCTACGGTATATCAGTGCCTAATAATACCAAGTCTAATAGACTACTGCACAGTCCCACCTTCGCGTTGGATGTCTCATTCTTAACTACGGAACAGGTGAGGCCCCCATTTCAAGTAACTTTTGTCGAAGTTACCCCATAGAATCACACCCATGCCCCAACAGGCGTCTCAATCGACCATAGAAGAACCAAATGAGACATGGGGTCATCCCGCTCTGTCTCAGGTGTCCCGTCTTGCTCCTTTGGGGACAAGCTGGTCAATCTGTTTCAGGCCTTCAAGCAAACCCAGATTCTTGTAGTCCGCGCATTATTAGCCTGTAATAACCTAATTTATACGCCTTGGAGCTTCGACAAGATGGAACGACCGTCGCAAAATCCCCGCTAGTCATTTGCCATATCAACTTGATCTCCAGTCCCCACCGCTTCTTTTCATAACCAGCGATATGGTCAGGGATTCGAGAATTCAAGATGACGATCGTGGAGGGCGAGAAATAAATGGAAACAAGTCCATCCTTCTCAGCCGTATCCTTCTGTCGTCCTGTCTTCTTTTGTACTCCCCAACCGTCCATCATGGCATCCGACTCTCAGGGGCCGGTTGTGGTGGGCATCTCCATTGCCTTTGCGATCGTTACTTTTGTGGTTATCTATCTGCGAATGTTTGCTCGAGTCGTCGTTCTGGAACATGTAGGAGTGGATGATTGTAAGTTTGTGCCCTGTGAATGCTGGCGAAAAGAAGGCTGACTGATTTCAAGACCTAATCCTCTGTGCATGCGTAGGCAACCGGAAACTAGCCGAATGCGCGTCCGTACTGACACGCATAGCTTTTGTCCTGGGCTTTTATCGCTGTAACTATCGTCTGTCAGTACGACATCCTTTGTCTATGAGAGTCCGCAACTGATTTTCAATAGCTGTCAAAAAGGGACTGGGCTCTCATCTTGTTGATGTGGATAAGAACAACCTGCCCTCCTATTCTTTCGTATGCACCATCCGAAAGGATAGTCATTGCAACTCTGACCACGACAGGTCGTATGGCTCAGCTCGATGTTCTACCTGGCCTGTCTGGGCTTCATCAAAACATCGGTCTGCTGGTTCTATACGCGCATCGGCGACAAGACGCTCACGCGAATGTCCTTGATCATGATGGGCATCGTCGGCACCCAGGCTGCGGTGTTCGTCATGGTTGCAGCCTTGCCGGGTCATTGTGTTGGGATCAATATCTTCTATCTCTCCAACGCGGCCTTGAACATCTTGACTAATTTGCTCACCTACTCGCTGCCTATCAACGTCCTCCTCAAGCTACAGATGCCGCTCAAGCAGAAGTTTGCGCTTGGTTTCATCCTCTGCCTGGGACTTTTGTGAGTATCTCGATCGCAGATGGGATTCTGCGCACTGACACGCCCCCTAGTGCCTGCATCTCCTCGATCATTCGCATCACCTATATTCCCACCATGCTAACCTCGGCCGATTTCACCTACGCTATCAGCGGCGCCATGTACTGGTCCGTGATCGAGACCAACGTCGGAATCCTGGCCGCCTCTATCCCCTCTTTCAAGGCGATTGCCTCCCGCTTCCTGCCCCGACTCATTGGCGAGTATTCCTCTGGGCGCAAATACGCATCCTCCAAACTGACAGGATCCAAACAAACACATTGGGGATTCTCACGATTCAAAGACAGCGTGACAATGAACTCACGGAGAACCAAGGATGCCACGCTTGGTACAGGGTACGGCAGCAATACAAGCGAGGAGCGGATCGTGGTGCCGGACGGGAAGATCTGGACTACAACGCAGATCGAGACGAACGTTGAAATAAGAAATGCTAGGACCCGTTGAACAATAATACCTGCACTCTCCCTGCCGAGATCAGGTACCGGCGTTATAGTCTGGACAAATGGACGGTCATGTCTAGTCTAACTAGTCTCCAAGCTGTCAATCGCAGCCGAGAGTATGGATTCGGAGAAGCTTGGCGAATAATGTAACCCGATGAGGAAGCTATAGCAACTGTCGATTGAGGCCATAACTATCATTATTAAGCTATGACCTGCTCAGTGACAAAATCCACGAAAAGATTTGTCAGATTGGAGACTCCGGTTGTCCGAGTTATGGCGGGGTTCTTCATTCGGATAGATTCCATAGATAAATATTAGAGCTCTCTTCCCCGCACTGCTGCTGTTCCCCTCGCAAACAATTATCACACATACATTAGCAACCCCCATCAACTTACAATTTCACTATAAGAAATGTCTTTTGCACAGTCGTTCCGTCAAATTATCGGTGTCCCTCCATCGACCGCCTCCACCAAAGATTCGACCCTCATCATCATCGACGCGCAGAACGAATACGTCACCGGCAAGCTCAAGACCGAGAACGTCTCCCTGACGCGCAAGGCGATCGCAAACCTGCTAGAGAGGTACCGTGCCGGTGGAGACGGCAAGAACATCGTCCATATTGTCCATGAGACGCCCCAGGGCGCTCCCGTCTTCACCCCCGACACCGAACTCGCCAGGGAATTCGACGAGCTGACGCCGCGCGGCGGCGAGAAGGTCATCGCCAAGCATTTCCCGAGCGCCTTTGCTCAGACCGATCTCGATGAATACCTGAAAGGTCTGGGAGATGTGGGAAAGAAGATTGTGCTTGTGGGATATATGGCGCATGTCTGTGTGTCGACCACAGCTCGTGCGGGCAGTGAGCGCGGTTATGACGTGATCATCGCCAGTGATGCCGTAGGTGACCGAGATATCCCGGGCACCAACGCTGAGACTCTTGTTTCGGTGGCTCTGAGTGAACTCGCTGATGCGTTCGCCACTGTACTTCCTTCGACGGAGATCACTACATAGGCTTGTTGGATGGTGGTCCTTTTCGTTATAGAATCAGACCTGTCGCCACCTCGTTAATATCATAATCATTCCAAGTGTTTCAGAAGACGCCATTGTTAATCTCCTTCGTCATAAGACGATGCCCTCGTAGTCAGCACGTCCGAGACAAAGTACGATTACCGGGCATGATGGTTGCCTGAAAGAGGCACAGAGCACGGACCGGGCGGATCGCATCTTCCCTTGCGGTTATCCCCGACCCCAGAGACTCCTTCTTATGTCCGATAATAAACTGGTATATATAAGCAGTTTCTCAGTAAGATAATGGGTGAGAATGCAGTTGCCTCAAAAGGGCCAAATGCCCTGCCTCAGGCCGCGACAAAAATCAGATCAAGCAAGCGATCACCACAAAACCGACTGAATGTCGACTCCAAGCATCGGAATTATCGTCTGCAGCCAACGCGTCCCCCGTGCTGGACTGCAGATCACCAATTTTGTCTTGAATACGATCCAGAAAGCATACCCGACCGCCAACCTGCGCCTTATCGACCTAGCTACCTGGGATCTCCCCATGTACAATGAACCGGGCATCCCATCACTAATCAACTCGTCGGATGGATACACGCACGAGCTGATCAGAAAATGGTCCGAGGAGATTGCCTCGCATGCTGGATTCATCTTCGTCACACCACAGTACAACTGGGGTTACCCAGCCAGCATCAAGAACGCCATCGACTATCTCTTCCATGAATGGACGGGAAAGCCCGGTATGATTGTTAGCTACGGCGGACATGGCGGTGGCAAGGCCGCTCAGCAGCTGTTTCAGGTTTTGCAGGGCCTTCGTATGCAGCCTGTCGAGCCTCTTGTGGCTTTGGTGTTCCCCACGAAGGAGTTTACGGGCAAAGCAGCCAGGGGAGAGGATCTGGGGGTAATGGAGGATGCAAGCATTTGGAGGGATGGCCGGGAGCAAATACTTTCCGCGTTTCAGGTTCTGGCCCAACTCGTTGCAAGATCTACATGACTGTGGTTTGTTACAACTTGACAGAGAGCGAATATCGAAGATTTCGATAATTATCGCGATCGTGGCGGGGTTTGGAAGACACCGCAGCAAGAAACCTGACTCGAATCTGCAGCTCGCAGGACATTGGATGATCTTTTGATCTGGTATGATCCGTTTCAACTGTGGCTGTCGGATATAATACTGTGAAGGAGATGAGTCAGGTTGATGCATGCAGGACAAGTGAATTAACTCTATAGAACACTGACCAGGAGCCGCATTTTTGGCGAGATTGATGTTCAAACTGTCTTCCACTGGGAATAGTCATGAGTAGATACTGTTGAATGCACCCAAACCACTGAGCTAAAAAGGTGTCAAAACTAGACTGGTTTACCCAATCCATAAATCCATATCCAACGCACCCAATCTGCAATTTGGGTTAGATAAGGGTTGGCCCTAATCTAATCCATATATATATTGGTAGATAATACCTAATCTATATAGGTATAGATAACCTATTTAGGTGTATATAAGACTTATAAGTTATAACTAGCAGAATTTAGTAGGTTTATAGATTTAGTAGTTTATCTAATCTATTTAAGTAGGCTAACTATAAGGCAGTTACAAAAATTTCAATATTAGGCTATCTTATTTTAGAGGGTCTTTATTAAATAGCTTAGATACCATTATTATAGAAAATATAATATATTTTCTCCCCTAAGATAAAGAATCTCTAAAAATGCTATACAAAGCAATATATTCGCCTTGGGTTCACCGTTCAACCATATATGAAATACTTATTAGCTAAAAACCTTACAACAAAATGGAAGAGGAGGAAGTGTAATGATTATACTCAAACAAGGAGTCTCTAGTCTTTTCTCTAAGTACAACTTAATTAAAGTAGGGTCAGCCGCGTCTCCAAATCCAAACATAACCCGCAATTGCACCAAATGTCATCACGAGCGCAGTTGCAGGGGGCGAGACGCCTAGCCATTGCAACCAATTAAAAGAATGCAAAACAGGTATCAAGTTTTTAAACAAACAAAGTCGCGTGGTTGGGTCGTTCTCAACCTCCACGGAATCCAATTCTTTCCATAAGTCGTGCGCGTTGCCGAATGCACCCTTCTTCCAACATCGTTCAATTATCGGCCCAAGCCAAAGACCCTCAGTACTGGGAAGATCCTCTCTCCGTGGCCATGTACCGTTGCTAGACTCTACCGGAAGACCCTTAAATATATCAAATTCACATTTCTCTCCAGCCACCACCTCATACATCACAGCTCCCAACTGCCCAATATCTGTATGTATGGAATAACCTGCCCAATCAGCCGTCTCCATACAGGTGTCAAGAGGCATCTTCACGGACTCGGTAAAATCACATATTTTGATTTTGAAATCGGCATCGAGAAGGAAGTTCCGGGTGGCAATGTCTGCCACAATAATTCGCCGGTCATGAATTTGTGAAAGTGAATGAGCCATCGAACGAAACCAAGACAGCTGAAGAGTCTTAGATGGCTTATTTTGACTCAAATACGAACGTAGATCACCATTTTCCATCAGGCGGAGTTTAGTGGCCGTCTCTGAGCAACCAATGAAAGGGACAACACCGTCGCAGCTACCTAAGCGTTGATAGATAGCTTGCTCGTGCTGGAGGGATTCGATATTTGCTTCCACTTCTTCCTCACTGCTAGTGCTCCACCTGAGAGGTAGCTTGACGGCAAACCGCCCTTGACGGACTACCAACCCGGTTCGTCCAATCCCAAGAATTTGATCCTGGGGAAAAGAACTAATAAGTTCGACATGACGGGCGAGTGTCATTTAATGGGAGTAATCATGTGGAAAAGGATGAATATGTTCGGGTAGAAATATACTTGAGGACTTGTTGTCTAGATGAGAGCAAGAGTACAATCTCGAGCAGTCGCACTGGCTTAAAATAAAGGGGTGGCCAAGTGGAACACGTGACTAGGCCGCAGCCTTAACCGCCGTCGACGAACTCTGAAGACCCCCGCTGCTTCCTGTCGGTTCCTCCTCGTCCTTCTTTGGAGGCGGGCTTGTTTTGCGTCGATGGTTTGGGCAGTCTCCACGCTTGGTTGAACTTCCCTGGGAGGTTGGAACTGGGTTTGAACAGTTCCAACCTCTCGCGAGCGCTTCCCCGCACGGTTCAACATAATTTCTATCCGGGTCGTGTGTGGTACAGCCTCCTTTTCTCTTTCCGGAGCATAAGGGGTAGCTAACTGGGGTCTTGTATCTTTGATAGCACATTATTAATGATCTGAAGATAATCAGCGCTGTGCGCTTAAAACAAGATTCTCTCTGGTGGCAGAACTAACCGAGTCAACAAAATGGGCTTTCTCTGTTTTCAAGTAATTTTTCGGCACGCACGATTTGCCAAGTAAGAAGGATAGAATCAGCTCACGCGAGCTCATATATATATATACATAACTGGCGTATTATCGCTGGATGAATGTCGCCAATCCTCCATGACGATAAAGCGGATCCTCTGACTTGCAATCTGTCAAAGATCCCATCAGAAAGGCTACTGCTTTGCGTCTAGCATCATCCTTGCCAGGTTTCTGGTATGGAAGGACCGCGTAAGACTGTAATATAAGTGGCTACTATTTCATGCTGCTCCCAGAGCTTTACTATAATAGGTATGAATCAGAAGCCTCTGATAGCCCCTCAAATTGGGTTCACTTACGGCTTTAATCGGTGCATATCTTAGTAGTAACGACTGGCCATGGGTCTAAACATCTGCAATGCCCTCGCGGCCCTTTTTGGCGTACTATACAACCCTCCTTATGTGCCATCCAAAAGCCTCCTCAGATTGGCTCTTTAAGGAAGCACTGCCACAAATGTGAATTGCTGTTGGTCACAACTAATACAGTGAGACCTTTAGGAGGTACCCCATCAGCCTTTCCTCTGCATAGTCTTCATAGACTTCATCCTGCAGTAGTTGAATTTTTGGCAAAGCTGACTGCATGACCGCCTGGGCAAGTCGTATTAGATGTCGTCCAGGACACGTACCCGAGCCCCTCCTTTTGGTTCCATCGACGTTCAGAATATTGTTTTTAAGAGGGGCATCTTGGGCGGGCATCTTGGGCGGGGCAAACAGATTACATCAGCTGCCAGCCTGATTCGAGTCAGGCACCAGGGCGTCGAGATATGGGAAAGGGTAGCGGAAGCTCAACCAAAATAATTTTCCTTGGTCGAGAACTTCCCGCGCTTTAGGACACCTCGGTTCAAATGATCATGGCTCTCGTTGCCCTTTAGAGTTCTGCCGAGTCATAAGCAAGTCCAGTTGGTGTACAGCCGTCGATACTGGGTAGGTAATGATTGGGCCAACGATCGTGTTTGGTTGATGACAGTAAGCACTAAAACGAGTAGTGTCTAGACTCGGCAACTCTGGATCGCGTCAAATCTGGCGTGATTGATAATCACATCTCTCAGGCCTCCTTCCAGCTGTTGAATATATTGTAAAGAACATGAAGCATACTAGAGCCAAGCATACCAAATCGAGAAGAGGTTGCATCACCTGCAAGTCCGTCAATTCTACGCCTCCGGCTGACCCGTACTAATTCTCCCAGAATCCGTCACGTCAAATGCGACGAGCAACAGCCAGAATGTCTACAGTGCGTCAAAACAGGACGCAAATGTGATGGATATGATCCCAAACAGACAAACCCACAGGCGCAGCAGAGGACCGTAGTCGATCCTGTCCCCGAGACCTGGACTAAACCCAGCGCTGACCATCGCCTGGTCTTGCGTCCGGGGACTCGAGAGGAACGGCAGTATATCGAGTTCTTCTGCACTCGCACATCGCATGCACTGTCCGGCTTCTTCGATTCGGATCTCTGGCGGTATTTCCTGCCCCAGCTGAGTCACTCCGAGGCCGCCATCCGGCACGCAGTCATCGCTCTCGGGGCTCTCCATCAACATCTGCATATAGTTCTCTCAAAAGACAAATGTGATCCCGGGCGGAAGATCGCCCCCCAAAATGAGCAGTTTATCATTCAGCAGTACAACTCGGCGATCCGACATTTGGTGGCACAACTGTCGTCCGCAAACCAGGTGCCGCATCTGACGCTGATCGCCTGCTGCCTTTTTGTCTGCCTGGAGATTCTCGGTGGACAGATCAGCAAGGCTCTGGACCATATTGAAGCTGGCCTGAAGATTCTTCAGCGATGGGAGAGCGACCCAAACGGAAAACTACAGTCGGAAGGAATTACTCGAGAACTAACGTATACCGTCGTCCGTTGGAATACCCAGCTCTCCAAGCATGGAAGGAAGATGATTTCCCTCAATCTCGGCCAACTGGATACAGCAAAGTCAGTAGAAAAACAAGACGCCTGGTCGGAAATTTCAACGGCCAGACATTCACTCGACGTACTGATCAACCGCACCATGAGCTTCGTGGAGGCCGTGGGTAACGACCGGAAGACGAGAGGGTCGCCCTGGCAGGTTCGTCGGCAACAGGCGCTTCTCCAAGATCTCGCCGCGTGGCTGCGCGCATTTGACAATCTGATGAAGCGATGTGGCAGACGGCTGAAGAAGACTGATCCTCGAGGGCCTGTGCTGCTGCGCATCCATCACCGCTCCAACCAGATTTTAGTGGCCGTCGCCCTTTCCAGAGATGAGCTCATATTCGACCAGCTCGACGATGACTTCAAAGCTATCCTTGCGTACGCGGAGGAGTTGATCGAGCTCAATGCGTCACTGGACAAGGACGCCCTGCTGACTGTCTTTTCCTTGGAGACCGGCCTCATATCGTCGCTCTGCTACACGGCTAGCAAGTGTCGCAATCCGGTGCTCCGGCGAAAGGCAATCAGCCTGCTGTACCGTTGCCCTCAGAAGGAAGGGCTGTGGAGTATGCAGCAATATGCGATTCTCGCGCGGATCGTCGTACAGATCGAAGAAGCAGAGGTGGCTCACCTGCAGTTGGAGCAGCGGATTCCCGAAGATCGGCATCGCGTCTACACAACACACATTGAGGACAGGAACTGTCGCTCATGTCGATTAGTATTGATGTATATGCCTGAGACTGGTGATGGGGAATGGCACTGTCGAGTCAGGGATGTGGACTTCTCGACTGAGATCCAAGCAGAGGATCCCAACTTTTTCACAGAAGCCGGTATCACCTCAGAGGTTTGAGAAGACTACAATGCTCTAGTTAGATTTGTCTCAATCGTGCTGGTCGGGTAGTATTATGTCTATCATGGAATTGGAGTCGTGGAGAATATCAGGATATAACTGTCTCCGTAGTAAAACATAGTTAACGATGAATTATATCCATCACCAGTGAAATAGTATATACATTATAATTAATCCGGTACTCATGTCGTATCATCAAACTATCCAACAACTCGCTCATTATGAAACCTCATGTCGAGATATAGATCGATCATCCTCGGCCAAATATTCTGCATCTACTTTTATTAGTCGGCGCCAATGACCGAGATGATGAAGACATACTTTCGCGAGAGTTTGTCCCTCCAACTCGTACGGTTTGGCATCTCTTTCCTGACATCCAGAACTGGCTGCTGCTTGTGCGCCTTTCATCTCGCGAAATACGGCTTCCACATGAGCGCGGTCCAGATGTCGAGGGTTGCTGTCCTGCCAGGATTGTCTGCGGATGGTCATCCCATAGCAGTCTGGGGCCAGGAAGGGATATGGAATGGTCATCATGAGTTGATGGCTGTATATTATGGACAGATAACTATATAGTATAGTATAGTATAGTATAGTACATCAATGGATGCAATATGCAGGCTCCAAGTAGATTGGGCGCTGTGAGCTCTCTTATATGGCAACAATTTGGAATCATGAGAACAGGATCAAAGTAAATACGAAAGAAAGACCAATAACATCGTCCGCAGGGAGGTTGTGGAATGCTCGAGGTGGCCTTGGTCTGCCGGTCATTTGACGTGGCCTGACGCGAGGATCTGGCCCAGTCGACCCTTGTTCTTGTGGAATCTGGATTGATTTTTCCTTGACGATTCTCAGAGTGATGGCAATATATTCTGGATAGATCACAGATCACACCATTATCGCATGTCGTTGTCATGATCACTACCGCTATCCAGTGCTATCTGGATGTTTCTTGAAATGCAATAGCCCATGTATCCATCCTCTAACTCTCACGAAGCACGGATATTGACCCCGCATTCCAAAGGCAGAGAATCCAAGCCAATGCGCCACTGCATTGCCGTTGGCCTCATTAGGAAATATGGAAGCCATCGTTTGTGCCGGCAGCAAATGGCGGGTTGGTGGCGCAATGTTTAAATCGTCGACGCCAATCAACAATCCGCCGAGCTCCGCATGGTGGCATTGCTGCATCCTACTGACAATTGGCAGACGACATCCAATGCCGATGGGGACTATTGGTATACAATCGCTGCATGTGCCAGTCGGGACTGTCGATTTTGCAGTATAATACACCGCCGCACTGCTTCTTAGTATCAGGAATTCAATCTAATTTAACAAATTGGCCGGTTGGAGTAGCTGGTTATCTCGCATCGTTAACACCGATGAGGTCGCCGGATCGAGCCCGGCACTGGTCATTATTTTTGCCGGCAGGCTGGCATTCCCCTAGTAGGAACAGAAAAATAGTTGGGCAGCTATCTCTGAATCTCTAGGGGACATAGGTTTGAATCCTGTTGCCAGCTTAAAATATCTACCATATTAAAGACCTACTTTGGTTATGTAGCCCCTTAGGGGGCACTTCTCATTCCCTATAGCCTTTGGGTATTAAATCACCCTAAGGTCCGCCTACAGGTTAGGGTAGACCTTAATCAACTAGCTTACACCACTGCCTTTAGGTTGCCTTCGGGCTTTATTTAATTTCTAGGGTTATATACTCATACTTTATATATGTAATTCCATAGCTCAGCACGTCCCTATAACCCCATGGGAGGTCAGGGGCACAAAAGTGCCCTGTTTCTGGACGTTAATAAATACTACTACTACTACTACTACTACTACTCAAGTATGCAGGAGGGAGAATTGCTGATAGACCAGACAACTAGCAAAATGTATCAAATGCCACCATTCACCAGAATAGTCTTGAAATTGGGGGGAAAGAAGCTGGCAGATCCATATATCCATTTCGACAAAGAAAAATGCTCCCTATCTAATAACTCCAGTGATTACCAAAGGACACAATTGCTGTTGATGAAGTCTTCTTATGTACCATTTGAAAGATTTACACAATTCTCAAACAAAAATATCGACAGAAAAACGCAAGTGGTGTATCTTCTGGAGACGAAATGCTCACTTCGCAATCCGACAGAGCCCCTGATCATCCCAATCCTCGCTGCCGACCATCCTGCGCGCGATGAAAAGACCAGCCGGATCCCATTTCTGCTTACTCCTGTACAAACGGGGGTAATTCCTGCCCCAGAAGGACTCTTGGAAATGGGGTTCATAGGCAAAGGCCTCGTTCACATATGCGCCCATCTTGTCTGCACCCTCGACTCCTTGCAGCAATGGCAGCTCAACATCCGTCACATTCTTGATGACGGCCTGCTGCTCTGCCAGAGTAGCATTGGGACTCCAACTGCGGGTGTACACGACATGCACAACCGCTTCTCTCCAAGCCGGGCTGACTGCATTGTCCACTTTGCCTGCATTATCTGCCACGGCGCCGCCTCCCACCACCATGCCGGAGACGGCTTCTCCAGGCGTATAGCGGAGTTTACTCATGGCAGAAGCGAGCCTGGCGGGTCCATCCTTGGAGGTGAGGAGGTCCCTCGAGAACAGCCTGGAGAAGAGTAAGGCGATTGATCCTGTCCCGTCCGAATCGCCGACAAGCAGGAGCTCTGTTATGGCCTCGTGGACACTGGGCATGGGGAAGGATCTATACTGAGTATACACGCCCGCTGTCGCGTTGAGCTTCTTCAACAGTGGCTCATAGACCTGGCCAATCTCGGTGGTGTCGCTTATATTGGCATGGAAGAGCATAAAGCTCAATACCGAGATGGCCTGATTATTCTCCCACGGCAGATTGGGAACCATGAAGTAGTATCCGCCTCCTCGTGCGTCAGTCACGGCCGGTAGCGCAGCATGAAAGTCCGCCACAGCGTTCCAAAACGCAGGATCTCCGGCGGCCGTAGTGATGTTCATGGAGGTAATGACGAGAGGAATCTCCTCGAATGTACGAACGGTGACTTGGGTGACGATGCCAAAGGTGCCTCCTCCACCCCCTCGAAGCGCCCAGAACAGGTCCGAATTCTGGTGGGCATTGGCAGTGACTAGATCTCCCTGTAGCGTGTCACTTATATGCGTCATCCCTGGAAGATCCCTAGAAGAAGGATCCAACTTACTGCAGCCGTGACGACACTGAACTCCAGGGCATTATCCGACGCCATCCCCTTCCATGGGCTCAAGAATGAATGACCGCCGCCTTGGATATACCCTCCGGTTAGCCCAACAGTGTGAGCGGAGCCTCCCACTACCGTTCTGTTCTGCTTGCCGAGAGCAGCATACATCTCCTGCAGACTAATCCCAGCATCCAGCGTTACAGCCGGACCTTCACCTTTATGCTTCGGCGCCCCCTTCGGAACGAAATCATCTACTAGCCGTAGTCCCTTCATTCGATTGGTCAAGATCTGAAGAGAGTTCGGAGCCGCCGAGCGTCCAAGAAAGTCATGACCGGAGTTCTTGATCGCAAGACGGATGGTATGCCGCTTTGCGAACCGGACAGCCTCCTGGATGTGTCGCGTGTTCTGGACCACGGCGGAGTAGAGCGAGATACGCCCCTGCTTGCACGGCACATATGGCGCAATCTCGACATAACAGCTCTCATTGTGCTCCGGCCAGGCTGCCCAGTTCTCCCATTGCACGGCACCGGGCTGAGCGGCGCGCCAGACGGAGTTGGACCACTGCGCCGTGACTTCCTGGCAGGCGGTGCTGTTGGGGTTAATGTGACAAGGGGCAGCAACAGGCTGCACTGCGACCAGAGTGCCGTCAATCGAGCGGTTGAGGGCATTCCACTCTTGTGGTCATGGCCAGCATGGTTGATGGGGTTGACATCGGCAGTGGCGCGAATCGGGACCAGCGATTGCTGCCGTGGCAAGGAAAATGGCTAGTAAAAGATTCTTCATAGCGACTGGTGTGATGCAAAGGAGTAGGCTACAAAGTGAATCAACCGGTGGCCCGGATATCCTCGCACCTCTCCTTATATACACAAGAAATACGAGCACTCCAGTGCGCCCGACCCCAAAAGGGTAATGAAAATAAGATACGAGCTATGCAACGGGGCTGTGTCGATCATCCCGCTGCCTGTTTACATACGAGAATTAAACTCGGGGCGCATGAGATATGTGCATCCATCATCGAGGAAGCGACGGGTCATGCTGCAAATGAACAGAGATCATCTGCTGGTCCAATTGCAGCCATTCACGATGGTCTTGGCTGGATGATGACCCAATGAAAGCGCTAATCCTGATGTCATTGATGAGGCTGTATACATCGTATTCGGCTGCGATGTCTCGTCTTTCCCCATGAGCTACTCTTTGTTCGTCTCGGAATTATTAGCCAGAGTTATAGTGTAATGCCCATGGCCGCATTTCCAGGCAACGATAACCACTCTTGAGACGATCAATTGTGAGAATGCATATTTCCTACGCTTAACTTCAATAGATCATGCAGCTATGCCATGTGTTACTGCATATGAGGAATCAACATGTTGGCAGCCTTCCGTCGTTTCCGGCTAATATTGTGCATTCAGGCCTACATCTTCAGACAGGCGATTCTATTAGCCGTATGGGTACAATTCACAATAAGAATAGGTAGTAGAGAGCACACTAACACGAGTAGCTAAAGGTCAAGAAATGGGTACGTTCTATCTACCATTATCCATGCGATACGGATAGCGCGGAGATGACCTCACGACGGCATCCCGAACCCATAGTCTCATGATATCATCTAAACAACTCTATAATCATGCCCCAATTGAAGTCAGAATTAGAGCAACCTATTTCGACTGCAGCATGTGTACCCTTCACAGGTACTCCCACAATTGATCAAACATGTCGACAGCGTTTCCGACGAACATCCAGAGTTGGGGTCGACAACATGGCGCTTCTTCACACCTCCAACAACCAACTCTGCAGTTCCCTGACCTTGGATTGATTGACTGTCGCTGGGAATTGGACGGACATGCTCCGGCTGCAAGGTCGTAGAATGGATCCCGTACACATGGAAGCACTCGTTGATGATCTTAGCCTTGTCCATGAAGTCGGCGATTAGTTCATCGGAGACTGCCAGATGCACCGATGCGAGAGTTTTCTCCTGGTTGAGCCGCCAGATATGGAGTTCATGAACGGATTCGACACCGGGAATCTAGACCGAGTTAACCTGTGGAAACATAACCCCGGAATCAATACTTACAGCTTCAAGGTCATGCTTGACATCTTCCGGATCGACGCCTAGCGGAACGCTCTGCAGCAAAATGGTTCCACTCTTCCGCACTACCTTGAGTCAGTAGGATTCCGTAGAGTCTGCTTGTACTACATACCTAGAGGAAGCGACGAGAGGAGGATCACGATCGCAATCGCCATGCTCACGGCACGATCGGCATAGTATCTTCCCTCATATTTGGCCTTCCAGATCACCAGCGCAGCAATAATAACCCCGATATTGTTCGCTGCGTCGCCCAGAACATGGATAAGGACACCCATCATTCCGAGGTCATGGCCCTTCTTCGCTTGCGACTTGATATTGTGGCGGTGCTCGACGTGAGGGCGCAGGACCTGATGAAGGGTACTTAGCTGGGAAAGCTGACAGCGGCACAACGACTTACTCGAGTGGAAAAGGAACTCCTGCGTTCGAGCGCAGACAAGGACGTCGAAAGTTCCAGGTCGTCATCGGATGAATCCGAGGTATTGTTTTCACCATGGTCGTGTTCTATGAACTTAGTCTGGTAATCAATCCTCTTCTGGATGGGAACCAACCATGCAGGAACAATCCACTGATCAAATTCAAAGCCAGTCCGACGCAGCCAATGATCAGCACAAGCTTGGGGTTTTCAATTCCTGCATGTGTCAGTACATTGTCATCCACCAGGAGCGAATACCATACGCTCTAACGAGACAAAGCGATCGACAGATTGAAGAAAAATGCTGATTCCTAGAGACAGAAGAAAAACACCATTGAAAAAGGCACCCAATAATTTTGCGCGCTGCCAGCCGAATGAGAGCTCTTTAGGATGTTTGCTGCGTTGGGAGATCTGACTCTTTATCCTTACTCTCACACACGGAGGAGCTTCGCTACCTTGAGTGCTACCAGCGCCACAATAAAGCCGACAAGATCATTCAGCTGCAGGTATATCAGTATCACTTTCGGATCATCAATGTGTGCTACCAACGTAGTGGAATGCGTCTGCGACTAGGGCCAAAGAGCGGGTATAAAATCCGACTGAAATATTTCGTCAACCAGGCGGCCGCTGGAGATGCAGAAATCAGACTTTACCTGCGATTTCTGCGAGGAAGAAAGACGCAGAAATACTGATTACCAGAATCAGACGGTGTTCGCGTTTGAGATGGGAAAACATGATGAAGCCTGAGAATATTGATTGAGTGACAAAATATATACAGAGGGAAAAGCTTCAGACAAAACAATTTTAGGCGTCAGGCTCCCTTAAGCCGCAGTGGCTTGCAAAGACTCGAGTGCTCCGCCATAAAAGACACAGCCCAAAATTTTTCAAGAAAAAAGCCGACGTGACACAGCTCAGAACGGCGAGCTGCCAGGGTCGGACCTCAACCTCGGCGTACGTCTATCCGGGGGGGTTTCAGCTGGCCAGCAATGACATAGGAGCGCACAAAGAGCACAAAGATCAAGCAGCATAAATGCCTCAGAGTCCCATCCATGCCAGACGCAGTCCATATCTGCAGTCCGTACTGTTGACGCCTGAATTCCAGTGAGCTTGCCAAATCGGCGAAAAGTGGAGAATTCCCTCGTCTATTCGCCGGGATTAGTCATAGTAACCTTACCCAAGAAGCGACGCACAGTAGTGACTCATTCCAAACGAGCATGACCGTTGGTTATAGCCAGTCTGGATGCAGGTCGGAGGTCGGATCGGAACCGTCGGGCCAAAATCAGTTGACCCTGTTGCTGCTCTGTGGGTGAGGGAAGATCAGATCCCAGACATGTGAAGCTGTATGCGGCTTCAACCTGGAATGTCAGTATGGTCATTAGCAGAATGAATGATTGTTCATCAAAGCCAGCCATGATGTTGTTGTTGGTTGTTGTAAAAATTTCTGTCATTTTGAGTGCCGGACCAATGCAAGACGCGGATCACATATTGACTTAGATGGTGCGATAGAGTCAACACTGCATGTAAGAAAGCAGATGCAGAATCACGTCAATTCAAATGACCAACCACGGAGCCGGGAGACGTTGTCAGTGAAGACAAGAGGAAGAGGAGCGAGTCGACTATATTTAACCAGACGAGGAGTGAGTACCTTGGGGACTGCACAGGTCTTGGCTTCCCTTTACGGACAGGAATAAAGACCAGCCAACTGGTCACCGACGATGATCTCCCCAAAGAATCCAAACGGTGCCTATCCTAGTAGTAGATATACTCCATATACTCCATATACTCCATATAGTAAGAGTATCGATATTGATGTCTATTCCAGATAATTATGCATATCATCTCCAAGACCTAGTTGAGTAGGTATTCCACTTGAAGCATTCGATGTTTTCTATGAACCAACTCCCAAAGATGGCCACGCAGTGTCAAACCCGGTATCAAAGCCCAAGGACCATGATTCATCAATGAACGGCCACTGGAGCATTTCCACCTCTAGCTCATGAGATTCACTCAAGGGCACTGCATCCATTCCCCCTGTCCCAGGTTGACGACTATCACTCCCTAACGTTGGATGATTATTCCGATTTCTAGTCGCTGTTGGCATATTCTCCCGCTCCAAAATAGGTTGGCACTCTTCCTGACGCGGTCGTACGCTTCGAATGTCGCCATATTCGTCCAAAGTCCCCGCGATTGTGAGATGACCCGCCCCGTCCCGAACATGCGCCTGATTATTTCTGGCTATCTCGTAGAATCTGTTGGCTTCCTGCACGGTTCGCCACTGTGTCTATCAGCAATCTGCCCTCAACGAGACACGACGCGGGAAGGTGGTTGCTCACCCAATTTTGTCCAACGGGCCAGTATTTGCTCAGTCGCTCGAGATATGACAAATTAGCTTTTTTCTCCTCCTCCGCTCGCTCGATCCCCCCAGGATATCGCTGCGGGCACACAGTCCCGTACATGTTGATATGGGCCGCAACAAAAATACTGAAGCCAGAGTACGGTGTGATCACCGGTGCTCCCGAGACTTCGAGGGCGGAAAGGATGCCGCCGATATTTTGCGCGGCTTCGAAGAGTTGCTGGATAGCCTGAGACTCATCTACATTACTTAAGCCTTGCAGATCGTGCAGCAAGTCGGAGTGAGGCTTGAGACTGGACAGGAACTGATCTCGGAACAGGAAGAGGATACTAAACTGTTATTAAATCCGGTCAAGTGGGCAGAAGGCTAGGGAAATACCTCATGAAATAGACCAGATTGATGTATGCGAACAGCTCGCCGTATCCCAACGCAACATGCGCCTGCGCACTGGTGGCCGGGTATCGCACTGTCACATCCTGCAGAAATCTCCACTCGTCCAGCTCCTCCTTCAAGCGCTGCCAGACCAGGCGCGGCGACGAAGGATCCTGAGGGAAGGTCAATGTCCGACCGCGCCGACTCTCATTCGCGAACCGCAGGATCCGCACGAAGATATCGAACCCTCGGGTGACAATCGTCAGTCCATAGTCGATGGTTAGATTCCTCGACAACGGTGAGTGCTTGCTCATATCGGACGGCATCAAGCGATGCGATGAAAGCCGACCAAAGTTGAAGTCCCGGTCACTGGTCGGCAACGGGACTGATATCTGTCGAAAAGAAAGGGCGAAATGCTGGCGCGCTCCGGAACTCAGCTCGCAGTCTTGCGCGAAACAGCACCAGTACGTGCGAACCAGCTGCTCGTACTGAGTTTGGCTAGCCTGGAAGTCCTGCGGATTATGCTCCATGCTGTCGTCGGCCGTCTTGAGGAGGGATTGGATCATGTACGTTGCCATTCCTGACATCATTAGCCTCGTATAGGGAGATTGAGGCGTGGACATACCACTGTACATCCAGGCCTTGTAGGGGCGACCGGAACCCCATTCGTAAAACGTAATCATCACCAAGGACTGCGCAAGATAGAGCGACGGGGCCTCGAACGCGCGATGTGCGAGCTGTTTGCGAGCATATTCGGCATATATTTCGGCTGCTTCCAGACGGTGATCGGGCATGAATCTCACGCATAATGACAACAGAGCAGCAACAAAAACCGGATCAACCGAGGCAGGATTTGACGATAATTCTGCAATCAGAGACGGATAGTGGAGGAAATTGGCGACGGGGAATTTCTTGCGGTAGGTCTCGCACGCCGCAATGATGGTGGACGAGGGCAAGGCCTCCACGGGATTCTCAGCACACCATGGCGATGGATGGTCGGGTTGTGGTTCAGGAGGTAATGGTGGACTATTAAGAGCGGTTGTCGGTTCAGATATCACCCTTCGCTGTCTCTGTGATTTCAACGTCGTTCTTTTTGATCTTCTTGACGGAGACGAATATGTGTCCGTCAACTGACAGTCGGTCAGTTTCGCCCGTTGACAGCGACGACACGGTGGTTGGCCATCGTGGATGCATTTGACCTTTGCTTGACTATACAGAACAACAATGATCATCAGCGAATCAATCCAAGTGCTAAGGCCCAGGCCATACTGGATTGGCTCATTTCGAGGTTATTCCCGATTTCCGAGGATCACCATACGGACGACAGAGTAACAAGGGACATACCGGCAGCCATCGCAGGACACTGAAAGTCGCATTCTCAAGGGCCGGATTGACAAGGTCAACTCATTGATCTGCCATTGTCTTCACTCTCTCAATTGAGATGATGATAGTGTTCAAATGCATGGTCGGGAATGGTTCCAGTAAGTGATGATTTCATTCCCGGTGCGGAGATAACCAAATACCTTCCAAATCGGGTAAAGCGCATTTGCGAGGGAAGCTTCTTTTTTGTTCTTATCGTCAAAAAAGAAATCTTGTTCTAGATCGATTCTAGTGTGCTACGGAAGTGGCCGACATATAGAAACAGCTTAGAGAATATTTCCAAGGGTCGCATTGCTTAACAATGGGGTAGTCTCAATATATATTCCGCTCTCTCCTTAATACTCCGCACTTCATAGAATAGAATGGTCATTAAGATTAATGCTATGAATGCTGTCTATCTCGCTAACTCATCACAAATGCCGTTGATCATATCCATCATACGTCCAGCTCGGTCCATTGCTGTACCCAGCTATTGAACTTGTCCACCTGAAGGGAATCCGTCGCCCACGAGGTCACAATCCGAACCACCGCATGTCCATCGTCGCGCTTCTCCCATATATAGAACCCAAACCGATCCTGCAGTCTGCGAACCACGCGCTCGGGTAGAATAGCAAATACTTGGTTGGTCTCCGTCTGCGCTGCGAGGGTATACCCCAGCTTCTCAAAGTTGGCCGAGATCTTCGCAGCCATATTGTTCGCATGCGTCGCCAGATCGAAGAAGAGATGCGTCCGGAAGAGCTCGACAAACTGAATACCCATCACACGGGATTTGGCCAGCAGAGCCCCGTGCTGTTTGAGATGGAAAACAAAACCCTCGGCCAAATGCTGCTTGACCACAATCGCCTCACCCAGCAGTGCTCCCATCTTGGTCCCGCCAATCCAGAAGATATCGGTGAGGTCGACCATATCACGCAAGGTCAGGTCATTGTTCTTTGCGCTCAGCGCTACTCCCAATCGTGCACCGTCGACCAGGATGAGCAGTCCAAGTCGTTTGCAAACTGCCGAGAGGGCTGACAGTTCGGCCTTTGTGTAGATCGTTCCCAGCTCCGTCGCGTTGGAGATGTACACCAGCCGCGGCTTGGCCATGTGCGGAAAGAATTGATTTTGCTGGTATACCCGCGCCAGGTTCTCCGGGGTCATTTTGCCGTTTACTCCGGGGACTAGGATCATCTTGTGCCCCGTGGCTTCAATCGCACCGGCTTCCTTGGTGACAATGTGCCCAGAGTCCACAGCCATGACGGCTTCGTAGGGCCGTAAACAGCTGGCAATCGAGATTAAATTTGCCGATGTCCCGCTGGGGACAAAATGAATGGCAACTTCATCCTTGCTGGCGTTGAGCTTCTCCCGGATCAGCCGTCGAGCTTCATTGCTGAACTCGTCTGTCCCGTAGGACGATTGTTGTGCGGCATTTGTCAGTAACAGAGATTCTAGAATCTGCGGATGAGCTCCCTCGCTGTAATCATCGATAAAATTGTATCGAGGAGGGAGCTCTGTGTCACTGATATCCGACGCCGGCATTTCGCTGAAAGATGTGGGACCTTATATGATAATAGGAATCAAGAACTGGAATCAATGCAAGAATGCCAGGAAAAAGAGAAACCAAGTGAGTCATCTTGTCTGGATCCCCTGAAATATATCCCCTCGTTATCTCTGTGGGAAAACCTGACTCGGTAGCGGGGATAGGCGGTGGTTTCGGGAATAATCCGACTTCGGGAATCCGCAGTGGGGATTTCTATTAGCAATCGCCCGGTATCTTTCCCGACTTCGGGAATCCCGAGTAGTGATGGTGTACAGTTGGCATATGATGTTGCACAGAAACAGCGGTAAGGGCTTAGAAAAATGATTGCATGAAATTCTAGTCTCTGTTCCAGAAGTAGTTTATCTCAGATCCCTCAAAGTATGAGTAGCTCAATATCACAGGCGGCATAAGGATAGCTTCTTGCCATTAATGGATAGATTTGGAGCATTGACCTATCATGTCTTACTGATATACAACTTCACCAAAGCACAACATCACTATATTTAAATCATCATCAGCTCTGCTGATCCTTTTGCCCCGCATGGCCTAACTCACTTGTTCTCCACAGCATTTTCTGCAGTCCTTAAACTTGGTTACATCCTATTGTCTGGATTAAACCTTGGGTCACAGAGGCATACAGTATAGCGGCAGGTTAACATGCGCTTGACTTTGGTGCTCAAGGCATCTCTGGCTTGGCTGTACTACAGAATTCACCTTTGGAGAACTATCCCGTTACACCCAGCTTGAGTTTCTCCACGAGCTGTCAAAAGACATAATTCTGCCCTACTTTGACGTGCGACCAGTTTATCATCAGAGAAAACGATACAAGAACTCCAAATTCTGCAGAGGGACCGAGTCCGCTTGCGATGGTGATGTCTCCACAACATCCGTGGTGTTAAACATTGGAATGACCCGGAATTTTTCGAGAATAGGGTCCTTCTCTTCGACCGTGTGACAGACTGAGATGGCCGGAAGCAGTATAGGCTGCTGAGTATGTCCCGGGAAAGCTCTGAGAAGGATAACGAGCAATTGCAGGAGGCAGAGGCTTCTGTCAATGACATCTTGGACATGTCCTCGACCATGAAAGTTTCCCACGGCCTTGTCACAGCGGGTCGCGAGTACTTGGCTGAGATTTGGGACAAGCCAGAAAACAGTGATGCTGATATCAAGCTAGGAACATTTGCCACGTATATAAGATGGGCGAGTGAGCACTTCAAGCAGAGCCGGCCGTTAGTGCCGTTGAAGATGCCCCTAATCCAAAGTGCAGTTATTTAAGGGGGCATTACGGAGGTGATTGAACGAGTCCATAATTAGCTTTGTGTACATATTCTGCAATGTGATGCGACTGTAGTGAGGGGCCATGACATTGAGGTTACCCATTGCGCATTGACTATTTTTTCAATGGAGAGAACTTCCCTATGTGCGGTGTGACCGACCCACCAGATATCGGTCAATGTAGCTGAAAGCGCAAAGTAATGAGCTAGAATTACCAGAGCATGGTCTCCATCTCCTGGAGTAACTTGAGGAATTCTTGGGAAACGATCAAGGGAAACACCATGAGCCGTCGACATATCATTGCCGGATGCTCCCTTCCTTCTATGGCGAGCCAAACGGAGTTAATATAAGCCACTGTCGACCTGTATATCTCCAGTCTTGGGGGCCGTAATTGTTCGCCATCCCCCTCACCAAATCCTTCGGATGGCAGCAAATACGAGAAATGGCCGCAATCGCCTGTGCCGACGGTAAAGTTTGGGTCCGTGAATGAAGGCGACGAATGAATGATAGAAAAGATTCTAGCTGACTTGCTCTCTTGAATGACGCTGAGCGCAGCATTGAATACCGATACCGAGCCTCTGACCAACTGCATCCATTCCATCGGTGGTCTGTACGAGTCAAGAGGACGATCCTGCAAAGACGTAAACGCGTCGATAAGTAAGAGAATGCATGTGAAGCATGCTGCATCGGCAATCCTTGTATCTATACTTCCCACGCACACTCTGTGGTCTCGCAAAGCCCGCTCTAGATAGACAGCCCGAACGCCGATCAAGTCCGTCTCGTTTGATTTGCCCCTGTAAAGATGCAGGGCAGAAATTGCAAAAATGGCATACAGCAGTGGTTTGTAGACAAAGGCTAGTTTGGGAACCTCAATTGACCAGCAGTCTTTAATGCTCTGGAGATGGGCTCCAGGCAAGGTGAGGCTAGTTCCTATGGTGAAATGATGCAGGAGACGCAGCTCTGTGTACATATGATTTCCACCTTCCGACCGTGGGAGACTGCATAATGCTGTGATTGCAGCAGCCGTAGCAGCTTCGTGACTACCAGCCAATGCTATCTGCGAGGGAGGGGGAAGGGGAGGAGGTGCGGAGCTGCGTTGCGGTTCGGTTTGAGCGGTAGGAGGTTGGCCTTTGGACCTGTCATAGAGACAGGCGACCCCATGTCTATGACAGTCTCGGCATACTGGACGCGCTTCATCACACTGGCGTGGTGTCAGTCCGACTGACGGGGAAACATATCATGTGTTCAACATACTAACCTTAACCCTACGAGCGCGGCACCGCTGGCATCCGTTTCGGGATTTTCGGTAAGCCAGTCGCGGGCCGTTCTTCTTGTACGCATGACTGGCTGACTGTCCTTGATTTTGAGGGGTATCAGTTGTAGTTGCTTCCCTAAGTGTTTGTGTCGTAGCCGATCCCCCCTGCTCTAAGGAACCTGAAGCACTCTGCAAGGGTAAATCTGGTGGGATTCTTAGGTACATTGTGCACAGTCATGGCTCATGGATGACTTGATATCCCAGATGATCAAGGGAAACCGTGGAAGGGGAAAGAAAATAAAGTGAGCGGCGCGAATTTACCTTAGGTGTCACACCCCACCTCGGCTTGCAGGCAGTAGTATTTCCCTGATTGGGCTCGTACTTGTTACATCGTTAGGTACCTTACTCTTGATAGATACCTCCCATTTCCTCCCATTGCATCTCGCACCTTTTATTTCTACGAGTTTCAGAAGAATATAAGCCAAATTAGTTAAGACTGTTCCCCTCAGGGTCATGGGTGGGTATAATCGGTTCACCACTTGGTTGAAAGCGATCTCTCAGCATTACGTGCCGAGCAAGACTAAACAAAGTCAACCCAGTAAGGATGAATAAAAGCAAAGAAGAGCCTTCCTTTCACTCAGGGTGGCCACATCCTACATCACTGAACATGTTACTCGACCTCTTCTCGTCTCTCTTCCCCAATCCAATCCAGCGTGCTTCCGTTTATGTCTCGCCTGTCTGCACCACTCGGCGATTATATCTACCGATATGTCGCGTACGAAAGCCAACAAACACCAAGATCAAAGTTGTAATGAGTTCAGGTAGAAGACCTAGGACAGTACGAATGGCTAAGGAGCCTGCCACTGGATTCAGGTTTTGTTTCTGGGTTGACTCCGCGATCAGTCCGTACAAAACCCGGATACCGACAAACACCGTCGCTAGGAGCACGCCGTGGAGGAGCTAGCATTCAAGGCATTAGCACTGGTGATGGCACACTGACTTGCAGAATCCTCTCATGTCAGGGTAAAGTCTACCATTTCGCCTTCCATCACCCCTGGAATGGTCTTCTCACTGCAATCCTTCAATGTCCACAGAGCCCAGATGGTCAATATTGCCCAACATGCCTCGAGCAACGCCATTCCAACGTCAAGATTCGTCTGATCGCTCGCTTTTGGGTGCTCTCCTGCCAGACCGCCGGCTCCTGTGCCAACCATGGCAACGCCGGTCGCAACGACCACATGGACGAAGGCCATAAATGCGTATTCTAAACGTTTGTCCAAGTTTCGATTGCGGTACACCCTTCTGCTCAGGTACGTCAGTAATGTCATGCTGTTCTCTTAAGATGATAACGCACGCTTCATGTAGTATTCCATCTAGAGCAAGCAGCATGGGCGAGATCCCAACGCTTGAAATAATCTTTGCCCCGGAGCCGCTACTGTGAATCGAGAGGCCACCGCCGGTGATCCGCAGTATACAAAACGCCAGCAGATAGCCCCAGCCTAACAACCCCCATCGATGATGACACAGTGTCAGATACAACGCTGGACATACGAGAACCGAGTAGATGGCGAGTTGAGCGACGGAAGATGCACTCATACTTTGTATGGGGGAGGCTGTGCCGGGACAGAGGAAGTAGAATAGTCGTAAGTGGTATAATGATTCCCTTCCTTTGCCTGGTTTTCTCTGCAATTTCTCCGATATTTTAATCCGAGGATACAAACTATGATGGAAGAGGCAAGCAGGAACAGGATTCTCATGGTAAGACAAATTTGATTCAGAAGATCCGCTGGGCTGCTCTACTTGAGGGAATAGGGTGACAAATGATGAAATGTACATCATACTTTATATTAATCTATCCAGATGGACTTTCATCCAGTTTGTCTGGCTTTTCGACTTCTCTATATCAACCTCGAATGATTTGGTGATGGTTGGCGACTACTAAACGATACCGAGAATCCCTGTCGCATCCTCTTTTCGAAGCGCCCACTAAGAAGCGGAATACTATCAGGCAGCAGCTTTGTGGTCATATCCATGGACAATGCATGGACAATGAGAGGCAGAAGAATAGTTGTATGGAATCCCAACACATGGGCCAGATTCTCACTGCCCTCCTTAAGCATATGTAGAGGAGTAGCGCGAATACCCTTCATGCCACAGACAGGCAGACATAGATCATCCAACTCTTGAGGCACGTCATTAGTAGATGCTAAAGGGGTGCTAAGGTTAAGACTAGGCCAAACTTATAACACACTGGTGTATAGCTTCATATCCTGTCCCAAACAGTCGGATCTAGGCGTCAGAAATGATGATAGGCTTTTGACTTACAATATGTCTGTTATGTGATGTTATTCTGTACTCTAAGACAACGTTATCTAATACGCAATTTAGTATGCATTATGTTGGGATACTATACCACTAGATTAAGAAGCACATCGTCTTGACACCTTTGTAATCTAGCAGTGTAGTATAGTTGACACATTACGCATTAGTATGGAGACTAGTTATGCTATCTAGTCTCTAGTCTAGGTCCATATCCATCCCCAATTCAGCTAATATGGCCTCGTTATGCTGTCCGACCTCTGGCACTGCACCCATTTGAGCTTCAAACCCATCTGGCCCCATTCCCGGAGGAAACAGCGCTGGCACAGTCCCCGCAGAGGTCTGTACCTGCGTCCAGCGCTGCCTGGCTCTCAATTGCGGATGGTTCCATACGCCTTGCATATCGTTCACGCTGGCATTCGCAATCACCGCCTCATCCAGGCGCCGTAATATCCCCTCGGTAGAGTAAGATGTGAACACGTTACAGATTGTCTCCCTCAATTCAGCCCGATTCTTCACCCGCAAGGAATTATTAGAGAAGCGCTCGTCCATCGCCATCTCCGGCTTCTCCAGCACCATCTCGCAAAACTTAGCCCACTCCCGCTCATTCTGGATCCCCAGCATGACCGTCCCCTTGCCCGTTTCGAATGGCCCATACGGATAGATCGCCGCATGGGACGCACCCGCAGGGATCGGGCCCGGCTGGCCCCCGTAGGTATAGTACATGGGAAATCCCATCCACTCGACCATGCTCTCCAGCATGGAGATGTCGATATTGCGTCCATGGCGCTCAGGGTCCTTTTCACGCTCGAACAAAGCAGCAAGGATATTTGAGTAAGCGTAACTACCCGCGCAGATGTCCGCAATCGAGATGCCGACTTTCGCCGCTCGGTACCCGTCCCGGTGACGGAGAGTAGACCGGCCTCGCTTTGAATGAGGAGATCGTACGCTTTCTTGTCGCGGTAAGGCCCATCGGGCCCATAGCCCGAGATGTTGCAGACGATCAGATAGGGGTGCTTTTCTGATAAGTCTGCGAATGACAGGCCTAGTCGGGCGCTTGCTCCCGGGGCGAGATTCTGGACTAATATATCTGCGCGGGAGAGCAGTCGCATGAGTATGCGATGATGGCGTGGGTTCTTGACATTGAGCGCCAGGCTCTCCTTTGACCGGTTGGTCCAGACAAAGTGCGAAGAGAGGCCGTTGACGCGGGTGTCATAGTTGCGGGCAAAGTCGCCCACCTTGGGGCGTTCGATTTTGATGACGCGAGCGCCGAGATCAGCCAGTTGGCGGGTGCAGAATGGTGCTGAAATGGCTTGTTCGAGACTGACAACTGTGATGCCTGTCAAGGGGCCTTTCTTTTTGTCCTTTGGTGTTGTTCTGGATAGCGGAGGTGTTTGTTGACGAGTTGCGGTGGATGATCAGGCATCGTCGCGGCAGAGCCCGGACAGAGGGTCGAATGAGAGCCATTATGCGTCAATTCCTTGCGCTATCCATTTCCTAAGGCAATAGCACCGTTTATTACTGTATATAAGAGATCAAGATGCTCACCAGACTCCAAATGATCGACGTCTGGGATGTGCGGGGTTCGCGGTTACATGTCGGTTAACGGCTATGACGGTTAAACGGCATGATTTTCTCGCATGATTTATATGGTCAGTTCTCAGCCTCGAAAGAACGAAGATTTATAGTTCAATGATTTAAAATGTCGCATCTGGCCAGACCAGCACTTCATCATAGGACATTAGCTGTCCGACTGCAATGGTCGCTCTTCCGATCGCGTTTCTCAACCTCGGCGCGTCGGCCACTGATGGAACTGGCCGGCTTCACTGAAGAACAACTCACTGTCCGCGACGCGATTTCCGCGATCACTGCCAAGTTTCCCAACACATACTGGCAGGAATGTGATCAGAATGAGCGCGATCCCAAAGAGTTCCATGCCGCACTAGCCAAGGATGGATGGTTGGGAATTGCTTTGCCGGAGCAATTGGGAGGTGCTGGACTGGGTCAGTACATCATGTTCAAGCCAGAGACCAGGCTACTGACTTTGCACAGGAATCTCAGAAGCTACGATGATGATGCAGACCATTACTCAATCCGGTGCAGGAATGGCCGGTGCTCAGGCCATCCATGCCAACGTGTATGCCATACAACCGCTGGCGAAGTTCGGCACCAAGGAGCAGCTCGAGGAGACAATTCCCAAAATCATCAATGGGACATGGCGGGCATGCTTCGGCGTCACAGAGCCTAATACGGGCCTAGAGACGTTGAAGCTCAAAACTACCGCCACCAAAAATGCTTCCGGTGATTCCTACTCGATCACCGGGCAAAAGATCTGGATCACCTGTGCTCAAGTCGCGTCCAAGATGATCCTGCTCGCGCGTACAACCCCCATCGAGGAAGTGAAGAGATCCACCCATGGGTTGTCAATGTTCTGCATTGACCTCGACCGCGACAAACCCGGTCTGGACATGCGCAAGATCAAGAAAATGGGCAGTCGCGCCGTCGACGCCAACGAGGTCTTCTTCGACAACTACCAGATCCCCGCAAACACGCTGGTAGGAGAAGAAAATGAAGGGTTCAGGATCATCCTTCACGGAATGAACGCAGAACGGTGTTTGCTGGCCGGTGAGGCGCTAGGTCTGGGGTATGCGGCGCTCGAGCGCGCGACGCAATACGCCAACGACCGCGTGGTATTTGGACGTCCCATCGGACAGAATCAGGGTATCGCGCATCCGCTGGCAGATGCGTATATGAAGCTAGAAGCGGCCAAGTTAGCGACTTACCATGCTGCGCGGTTGTATGATGCCTCGCGAACGGATAGCTCGATTCCGTTCCATTCGGTCGGGGTGGCTTGTAACAGCGCTAAGTATCTTGCCGCCGAGGCAACATTCACGGCGTGTGAAAGAGCTGTTCTCACCCATGGAGGAATGGGTTATGCCATGGAGTATGATGTTGAGCGGTATCTGAGGGAATGTTTTGTTCCTCGGATTGCCCCGGTGAGTCGGGAGATGATCTTGAATTATGTCAGTGAAAAGGTGCTGCAATTACCAAGGAGCTATTAGATTGCGAGAAAGGGTGTATATTCGCCCCCATACAAAGCCTACTTCTCAAGGCTGGAACTTCTTGGGCGATCTGAATGCCATTCGAGCATCCCCGTAGACCATAATATATTCCTCGATGACATAAAGGAACAAGAAGTTCTCGTGGTGCATCTGTAACCGCATTCCTAATTTACATGGCTATATATTAGCAAACGTACTATATTAGAGTATGAGATCACTGACATCCTACATCCATGTATCGAAAGTTGGTCGAGTTTCAGCAAATTGAAGGGTTAGAAAGGTGGTGATGGGTGATAGATTGACGGACACCTCAGGCGCCAAACCGGATAAGCGTGTACGCGAGTCGACCAGTTTATCCCCACAGGCGACTTGTTCTCTCCATCCATCCTCCTGAGTGTCTGGCACGGTTCTATTAAACCAAGAAAGAACTGAAATACGACATCTCCATGTTTGATTCACCTATTACTCCAATGAGTGGATGAAATAGGAACAAAGTCTCAATCGTCTCCGCGAGAACTCCTAGAAAGGTGCCGACCGCGTGTCAAAGATGTCGCCGCCAGAAATTGAAGGTCATTCTGCGTGCTCTGTCATCAGAAACAAACTAAGGTATATTCTCTAGTGTGATGTCAACCGTCCTTGCACACTGTGCTCCAGAGCCGGGGCTGAATGTCTCCCAGCCACGACCAGCCGGTGGAGAGTCTACCGACATCACCAGCACTCTACCATCGAACCGCATTCTAAACGACCACGGAGAGCGCGTCCTGGTGCGAATAAAAACTCTGCTGAACAAGCCCAAATTTGCCATACAGGAACAAATCCTGCTCCAAGTGAATTAACAGATTCTGGTTCTGCTACGGATGGGCGTCTTCACAAAGCTAACTGTCCGATATGGAACTCAAGCTCGACTCGGTCTTTAGTGAATGGCGTGAGACTCCGTGTTCATATTAAACCACTGTGGTTTCTAATCAAAAGACACAGGCATTTCAATTACACAATGTCGCTACTCCTCGTGATCCGATAATGGATGCCATTCCTGGAGGCACCATGCAGGACATTGTCGGAGAAAATTCCGACATCAGGCATAAGGAAGCCGTTGAGCCAGGCGGTCGTCCACCTTGTGGTACAGGGACAAGAAGACGGACTCTACGTCCGATGCCCCCGCTGGTGTACTCATCGCCGCCAGCTCTGACAGAACTTAGGTCACTGTTGCCGCCTTACGAAGCTGCTGAGCTACTCGTCGATACCTATTTCGACCGAGTTCATTGGTTTATGCTCATGTTTCAACAGGATGACTTTCGTCAGAACTGGCCACACCTGTATAAGACACAAACTGACCGCACAAGTGAAGATTGCAACGATCTAGGATTTCTCAGCACTTTTCTGATGGTCATTGCTATTGGAGCGCACTATGCCGGACCCTACCGGCAAGGTCTCCTTGCTCGACACGATGTCCAACCTGAGACGCTCAAGCAGTACATTTTGAAAGCCGTAAAATCCAGTTTGCTGGACATTATCCCGGTTGGATCGTTAGAAGTGGTTCAAACGTGCATCCTATTAGGAACATACTATCTCTTCCACGGTGCTCCTCGGCTAGCATGGCCGGTCTGCGACTGCGGCCTTCGGGTTGCCCAGTCGCTCAACTTACACCGCAAGGTCGACAGAGACCATGCCACCTTGTCATTAACTCCTATCGAGCGCAACCAGAATGAAACGAGGAAGCGTTGCTGGTGGGCCATCTACGAGATAGAGACGTTCTGTTCGATGTCTTACGGCTATCCTCATAGCATCAAGGACGCAGACTGTGATGTTGAGCCACTGAATCCATCCGCAAAGCTACGGAATGCTCCGTCACCTGTGTCCTTTGATGAACCGTTGAGATGCGAGACCACCCTTTTGTCCTACAAGTATTACATGTCGAAATTATCCGTTCTTACCAAAGCGGTCCTCAGCGAGCTCTATGGAATTGGGCCTGGTCTAGTAAACAATAACAGGGCTTCTGGTGTGTCTGGCTCGAGCTTACGCGCTGTTGTTATGAGGGTAGCGAGCCTGGATGCAAATCTTCGGAACTGGCGAGCCGAAATCCCTCCAAAACTGCGGTGGGAGACGGTTGCTTCTACCAGCATGAGCTATTCATCCCAGGAATAATTTGATCAAGACATTGGCGCATCGGGCGTTCGGTTCGAAAATCATATCTACCACCTTCAGGCGTTAGCACTTAAGCTTGCGTTTGAAAACACCATGATTCTAACTCACAGGCCGCTTCTGTCGTACAAGCTCGTGACTAACGCTGACGGGAAGCTGGATGATACGTCTCGTCTTGACACAATTCAAGAGGATCCTTTTCTACAATCGATGTGAGCTTGCCATGATGCAGGTATGAGCTTGTCGGAACTCGCGAACAGCCCGATCCTTGAGCTTGTCTCTGAAACCTATGCCGCTGCCTTTGTTAGCATCCATACGTTCACCGCGGGAGTTGGTCTTGGGATTTTAAGTAGTATTGAGCCGCTCACGCCGCAGGCTCAAGAAGCCAAAGTTGGGCTGCATCGACTTATGGACATTCAAGCGAAATTGAAAACTCGGTCCCTACTAGCCACGCAGGGCCTGGATATTCTTCAGCGGCTGACGAAACTCGTCCTGGACAAAGAGTTAAGCACGATGCCTGATGTCTCAAAGCCCATACAACGGCCAGAGCGACAAAGCGAAGTAGATGTCGATCCGAGTGCCGTTCAGATAGGTACTCTTCCTCCGAAGCCATCTTCGAACAGCCAGTGTACGAGGCCGCCTCACGATGCTGCTGGGGCTGTCATACCGACGGACCGACAATTGACCGCGTCTAATTCCCACGACACTCAAGAAACAGAGGCCCGGATAGAGATGCCTGAACCTATCGGTTTGGGCAACTTTTCGCATCTTCAGTATGTGGAGGACGCTTCTGTGTCGGAGGCGCTCTATGATTTCGACCAAGGTGAGTTGATCAAGATACTGAATTGTACTGTCGCAAACTGAACGGGTCTAGTGCTTTCAACATATGTTAACAGTTCTTGGGTTGATCCTGACCCATTGGTCACTGATACGTCACCCGACCGGACATTACACGATGAAGGATTTTCAATGGTGGAACAAACGTGGATCTGGGGACCGGATACCCTACCATTTCATGATTGAAGGCACCTTAATGTATTGACAGTTTGATGCTCCTTCGGGTTTGTCAAGCTCTACTCGTGGTACATCAAGTCACTGGATTTGATGTTTAGGGATCAAATACAAGTGCATTTATCCAAGGGTCCGGTATGTATATCACATTGCACTGAAGAAATGCACTCCAAATATCAGCTATCACACTGGACCAACCTGCTACAATGATAAGCCGAAACTCTCTTAGTATCCACCCGTTTCCCCAGCATCGTTCATCGGCTTGAAGGATACTTCGACGGGCTCATTTCCGATGCCGCGCTTCCTCGCCTCCTCCAGAATAGCCACGGTAGCTGTGGCCCCAATACGAGTGACCCCCAAGCTCATGACATGCAGCAAGTCGTCCAAGGTCCTGACGCCGCCAGCAGCCTTGATCTGCACCTTCTCACCAGCCTTCTCGCGCATCAGCCTGAGATGCCTTACCGTCGCGCCTTTGTAATTATACGACCCGTCCGCCTGCTTCACGAATCCGTATCCCGTCGAAGTCTTGACAAACGCAACATCCAGCCTTGTGCAGATCTCACAAAGCCGTGCAATATGGTTGTCTTTCAAATAATCATTCTCGAAAATGACCTTGAGCAAAGCGCCTCTGGCCTTGACAACGTCGTTGATCCGTCGAATCTCCTCGGTCGCATACTCCCAATCGCCGCCAAGGACTTTACCAACATTGACAACCATATCAATCTCGGAACCCCCTACTGTGACCGCCGCGATTGCTTCGGCCACTTTGATCTCGGTAGTACTGTTCCCATGCGGGAATCCGATAACAGAGCAGACGAGGACATCTGTCCCGGCCAATTACCTCACGGCGAGAGGAATAGAGTAGGATTTAACGCAGGCAGTAGCCACTTTGTGATCTCGGGCAATTTTGAGCCCTGCGAGGATATCGGCGTCAGTCAGGGTCGGATGGAGGAGAGAGTGATCGATCATTTTTGCGAGTTGAGGAAGAGAAACGGTAATAGTGTTGGAGGACATTTTGAATTTCAGGACAAAGGGATCACTGATGATTTAGAGCTAACTGGCCTGTTGATCTTGATGGAGTTGATATGCGATGCCTCGTCTTTTGGTGGCAGGTCGTTATATAGTTGGAGGGCCATGTTCCGGTGGGTGCATCTACTCCTTTTGGTGAGCAACATAGTGTTTTAGCCAATGAGCGCCACATCCGATCCGGGAGTGGGTCAGTAACCATAAACAGGAATTCATTCCACCGGCTATTTGTACGCACCTTCGTGGTCCTCATCATTCAAAGAACAGACACATGGCAGAAGACGCATTTTCTTTGACAATCTCTGCAGGTTGGACAGCTGAGAAGAAAGCCACCTGCCGCAGTATCACGTTGGTTTTGTGATCTCGAATCCAGGCTCTCAGGAGTCAGGAAATTGACACTCTACGGAGTATTTACCATCTTCTTCCCAAGAATTGAAGCCTTGATAGCTACAGCATCGTTCGATAGGGTGTCAGGGTGACTCTCATCCACTTGGACGATGTGAACCTTCACTATGTCTACTGCAGCATGTAGACTTGCAGCTTTATGGCACCCATGGAGTACCAAACTGGAACCGGTTCCGGGAAGATTCACTGGAGCATCAACTGTTGACAGACAGAGTTGTACTGTGTGTTTTTTGGAAATATGAAGCTGTATATTCGAGAATACTGCGCATCTCCTAGCTCGAGGAAGAGCGTCCAAAGATGACACATATTTCACATATTTCCTGTCTGTATCTTTCTTTCAAAAGATTCTGCCATCTCTCCTAAGACAGTTGCTAGGAGATGATTTCTTTTCTTTGGCCTCATATTCACCTCAGTTTCACTGTACTGCGTGAGTCTCCGCTTCTTGAGAGTCTAACATGGTGACCGTGATGTTCTACTGGCCAGTCACTATAGGCAGACCCGCGTTCACTCTGTACCAGAGCCCGGAATGTTCTATTATGTGCAAATTCTTCATGCTATGTGTGAATGCATGAGATTATACCTGAATATAAATTCGCCTTGTCTTCCCCCTTTCTTCTTTTCCCTCTCATCCGCAGCTACTCCACCCACAGCCTTGACAGAACGAGCAAGTTCACCATGGCTTCAAAAGAGTAAGTTTACCATCACCCGTCTACAAGTTATGAGTTGTCTCTGATAATCAAAGATGGAAGAAAGAGTCATGGTGGTTCACGGATGATCGAGCCGACGAGCACAACACCATCGAATATGGCTGGAACGAAGACTGGGGCTACTGGATCAAGGTGATGGACGATCGTCTTAAAATGGCCGATGACTGGCACAGTCCGTGGAACACCCTCGCAGAACTAGACAGATTCAGGGCATCTGTGCTGGACGGCGGTCTTGAGGGATGCTATTTGAGTGCCTACACGGGGCCTCGGGGCCAGGGAAAGAAAGTGGACTTCGAGGTCTTGCTGGATCTCTGGACAATATACGAAGTCCCAAACACGACGAAAATCACCGCTGAGTTTCGCAACATGTCTGAGCGAGAGATCCAAGAGGTTCGCGATACTATCGAGGCCAAGGAGGAGGACGATTGGGTCAACCCATGGGCACTGACAGAGAGCCAATGCGGATGCGGGGATTGCAAGGAATGCAAGGGATTCGATGCAGACGATGAAAGCGATGAAAGCGATGAAAGCGATGAAAGCGATGAAAGCGATGAAAGCGATGAAAATGACAAAGAGGAGGACGACTAATTCTCAGTCAGCAGTGGGGGCTCGTAATGATCAAGGACTAAGGATCCGGGGAAGTCGGTCTCTTGATGGTGAGGAAGTATTGGTCCTGTATTCGAAGCCGACCCGTGAATTGCTGTATTCATGTCGACTCTCCTTTCTTATCTTTGTCTGCTTGAGAAGATGCCAAAGCCATCTTGCCACAGCGTTGTTGTCTAACCCTTTGCGAAACTCACCCCAGTCGCTGGAGGTACAGTAGCAATTATTCGGTAATCTGATCTACGTAAGCAATGATACCAGTAATACCTGGCCTGATCACTACTTCGATGCAATTAAGAATTATCTCGGCCTTTGATTGACAGCAGTAGCATCTCCAACTGCATCAAACAGAATGATGAAATACATGCGGGGAACTTGTGCTCCTCCGCCTGACGTCAGCAGTGTTGTGTTACCTCAGCGCTGGACAATCTGTTCTTGGCTTTGGACTTTGAATCTTCAAACAACATCCAGTGGAGTATCAATTAATCGATAGTCAGTAAGATGGCCCATAAAGCAGGAACGAATGATGGTTGGCACGGGGTTATCTCTAATGATGGACCTTTCCCTCCCGTCGCAGGACGCTACCATCTCTACATTGGTTTGTCACTCATTTCAATCAAGAAGCTCGACTAATAAGGCGACAGGACTCTTCTGCCCGTTTGCTCACCGGGCCAACCTGGTGCGTCATTTCTGTGTCTTGACCGATATTATCTCCTTGTCCGTGGTCAGACCATACCCCAACATCAAAGGGGAGGGATTACGGTTCCCAAAGACCAACGATGAATATCCCGGCGCAACAGTCGACGATCTCTACGGCAGCGAGTTTCTGCGCGAGATCTACCTGAGAGCCGATAAGGACTACAAAGGACCGTACTCCGTCCCAGTGCTCTGGGATAAGGAGACGGAAACAATCGTGAGCAACGACTCTGGCGAGATGCTTCGCTGGCTACCCAATGCATTCGACCCCATTCTGCCGGTAGTCCACAAGAGAGTGCATCTATACCCCGATACTCTACGATCTCAGATTGACGAGATCACGTCCTGGATGCAACCAGATCTCAACGCTGGCGTTTACAAGGCTGGAGGTGCGGCCACTCAGGCAGACTACGACAGGGCGGTTCCAGCTGTCTTTCGAGCACTCAACCGGCTCGAGCAACTCATCCATTGCAATGGTGGTCAGTTCATCTTGGGTAAGCACATCAGCGAGGTCGATCTGAGAGCGTATACGACCATCATCCGGTTCGATCCCATCTACGTCCAGCACTGCAAGTGCAACCTGGGAACGATCCGGCACAATTATCCGACTATCAACAACTGGCTGAAGAATCTATACTATAACGTGGAAGGTTTCAGGGAATCCACTAATTTCAAGCATATCAAGGAAAGCTGTAGGCGCAGTCCGAGGGAGTTGCATTATTATTCATCAGCTGACTCGAATAGATCCCAAGAACCAAGCCGACATAAATCCAAAAGGTATCGTCCCCATGGGACCTATACCCGATATCGAGTCTGGCGTGGATCACAACTGGGGTCTGGTGAGAGTTGGTTCTATTTATGTAGGCTAGTGTCTGCTTTGCCCAGTAACGCAAAGGTGACACGAGACGAGTTTGTCATTCTTTTGAACAATACTCTGTATGAACCTTTCTTATCCTGAGAGATTCGTCACTATCGAGCCTCCTTCTCTTACACCTGGGTATACTTGTCCCTTTCCCGTAGGAGCAGCTTCTGTCAAGCAGCTTATCGTCATAAAACCACGCTTTGGAGTGACCCCAGCGCCTCTGCCTAAACCATTTCGAGACCCTAACTTCCGGTAGGCACCCCTGGGACTCAGAGAAGTACCAGTATAAACCCGCGACTGTAAGCTATTCAACAGGCGTGCAAGAATTAACTGTGTACAAATGAATCGCCATGAACGGTCGATATCTATCCAGAGCTGGATACACTAAGAAATGGAAATATACAGGAGAGATAGATCTGCCCCGTCCGGAACGAATTCGACTTGAACGACAACAAAGTATGGTTGGACACATAGTCTGGGATCTTTACTTTCTTCGTCACGGTATATCCACCCGCAATAGAGGTGTAGCATAAGTTCAACTGCGCATTATTGACCCCCTGACACTTGGACCTCTCCGCTGCCTGGAAGCCATTTCAGGTTAACCAGTCATTGCGCCAGCAAGCCTGCTCCTCGACACAGTCCTGTCTGTCGACAATGCTCTAGTCCTGGCAGATGTGGTAGCTGAACATGCCGCCATGATCGCCGTTGTGGTCGACGCACCAGTGCACTTCGGTTTCGTGGCCCGCGGTGTAGGACGCGACTGGTCCGGTGCCCCAGTTGCTGGTGGGCTGGTTGTAGTCAATGCTGTCGCGGGCGTTGTAGCCGCAGGGTCCGCTGCGACTGACGGGGGCAGAGCCGAGGTTTGGCCATGAAGACAGGGGTTCGAGGATGGCGCATTCGGGACAGGAGTCCACGCCGGCCTGGCGTGTCAGCTGCGTTAGGGATATCGGGAGTGGTCTCATACCTCGTTTCCTAGTCTGGTGCAGCTACTCGGGATATAGAGATATCCATGTCCCGCGACGCAGGTGAATGTCTTCATTGTTCAAATGGTATTGCCTTCTTCACACTCCTCTTGTGAGCTTGCCGAACATGGAGCTGGTGAAGGATGATTTCTTGCGCCTTTTATGCATGACTGGCAGAGAGATCGACACTGGTACATGAGCCATCTTGTGCGGGCGTAAAATCCGACATCTACATGGAGCGGACATGGAGGCCAAATAAGATCGCTTATGTTGGCCGTTGTCAGGAATCGGCAAACAGACATATTTTGCAAAGATCGGCTCAGAATCCGTCTGAAACTTGACGATATCCGGAGATTGCCTCGAGACCAGTCCATGTCTAAGCGACATGCATCGAAATTGTATTCTTACTTGGCATCTCCGCGAGGAGCCTTGGTCTAGTGGTCTGAGGCGCAGCTGATAGTGTGCAATATCCGGTAAATATCCGATCTGCCAGGTTCATGTTCCTCATTGGTGTAGGAATTTCTGCAGGTTCATTAAAGTCACCGGGCAGGATATTCGACGCGCTCACTGGACATCGATATAATATCGCACACTCTCACAGCTGATACTGCTCCTCCGCGCGAGTCCCAGGGCCAAGTCACCCCATCGGCAGAAGTTGACATCCACACATTGGATACATGTTTGTCGAGGCCATTTCTTCCGTCCAAGTCGCACAAGAGCAAGAAACTCAACCACCCACTGGTCCTCCGGCTGACGTTCATCGCCAAGGTCGATTTCGAGATGTCGGAGATTGGGTGCTGCAATCTTCTTGTAGATGACATACGGCGTCTCACGCCCAGTGGACGAAGACTTATACAGAGTTAAATGTAAATCGTTAAGACGAGGAAAGTCTGAAAGGTCGGGAATGTATGCTCCCTGTGGCGGAATAGGGCCAAGGGTTATCTTTTGCAGACAGTCCTTGTGAATCGAAAGTAGTCGCTGGATGCTACGGACATCGTACTGACTCTCATATGGTCCGTAGCAGAGTGACAATAGACTGATCTCCTCGAGTCGAGCGGGCAATCGAAGGAAACATTTCGTTACCTCAATCGATGTCTTTGGATCTTGCAGATGCAGGCTGGTCAGTGCGGATGTTCCTTGCTTGTTAAGTGGAAGAAGCTGCGATAGTTCCTCTGTTGTCATAGAAGCACTGTCGTCGTGTGCTAAACTCGTATATATGCTGCCATCCCGACACCAGCCCCAACGGTAGGTGGACAGTCTCCTCAAAGTCGGCATTTGGCTCACAATAGTAAACAGCAGGTTCAACGAAGGAGCGGCGCCATATCCGACAAACTCGAGTTCTTCGAGCTTCATCCTTCCGACGCTTTGCAAAATAGGGAGGTATGGATTTTTAACAAGGTCCAACTGCATCGTTAGTTGCCGAACGCAAGGAAGAAAATCCATGATTTGAAGGATATCCTCGGAGTACGTATCATGGTCGACGGTGACATGCAAAGTCTGGGTATAGTAGCGAAGATGGGGTCTCTTTTGCAACGTCGACAGCAGTTTTGAGAGTTTCTGTTTATCGGCTGCCCACCATTTGACAATGCGAGGGTTGCGATCCTTCAATAGGAGGGTCCGGTAGAGGAGTGTTTCTGCGACATCGCGCCACCGTCGGCAGACTCTGGTTAGAGGACTCCATTGGGCGAGTTTGATCTCATGGGGGGATTGCTCCGCTTCGAGAAGAGAAAATATCAAGAAAAGGAGCTCATTTGGGAGAGTAGCAAAGTGATCTGTGCGAGTAGTCTTATAAGACTCGGAAAGGACATGACGCGGAGGACTGATATGAATAATCCTCTGTACCGAGGGGGCAAGTAAAGTCTGCAGCGACATTGTATCTACCTTCCTCGCAACTTGATCCTATAGAGACCACTATAGTGTCGGCAGAGACAACATCCTACGCTTCTACGAAATGTAAATGTTCCAGTACGCAAACGGAAACGACATAATGCTCCGGTCATGAGATCAGCTACAAGACGTACCCGAGCACAGGCACGCAGCTTCCCCTCCTTTGTACGACAAGACTGAATTTTGCCTCCAGCTTTAAAGTTGGTCGACGAGTTCCAGATGCGGGCACATGACACATTGGTCCTCACATCGAAGCTCGAAACTGTGAATTCTACTCGCTGAAAGAGGGGTTTGTTACAAGATCCCCGGCTGACTTGATACTATGGAGGTTTCTCTATCCAGGGTCTGCCATTATGTTATTGTCAGGACTCAGGCAGCTTCGATGCTTGACAGCTCATGATCAGCTTACCCCGCATTCCCAATAAGCTTGCCTCTTTCCTCCAATCAGGGCGGTGGAAATACGCCATGTCCATAGTGGGCCTCAGGCAGCTACATTTGTGCCTTGTCCCGCCGGAACATTGTTATTCCGTGCACATGACAACCCATGATTAGTGGGCAATCATGTCATCTGACGTCATGGGCCTGAGGCATCCCGTCAAGGGCTAAGGCTGCCTGAGGTTTACCTCCCTGGCACTTGTACCACTTAAGAACCCCTGCATCTCCAGGGTATCCTTGTTGCATTTGCATTGTACCAATTGCATAGATTTTGTAACACTCAGACACGTTACACAGTATGCCCGGACATATTGGCCAGAAAATCCTCAAGACGTTTGGCTTGGACGACCAGCGCGGTCAACAGCCATTCCAGCCCCAGAACGACGCCCGTCTTCCAGGACACCGATTGATCAATAACGATGAACGCCTTCTCTCCTCTGAGCCCTCCGGTACATACCCCCGTCTCGCCAGACTGTCCGATGGCACCATCCTCTCCGCCTTCACCCGCTTCGCCGGCCAAACCCGCATCCTAACCGTTGCCAAAAGTACCGACGGCGGTCGCACATTCCACGACTTTGGCGAGGTGACTCGCAGCCAGGGCGACTGTGACAATCTGTACCTCCTTGAAGTTGCACCGTCTGTCGTCCTCGGAGCGTTTCGCAACCACGATCTCGGTCCCAACGGACCTACCCACTTCCGTATAACCGTTTGTCGATCTACAGACGGCGGTCGTAGCTGGCAGTTCGCTTCACAGGCCGTTGAAAAGTCCCCTCCAAATGGGATCTGGGAGCCGTTCATGCGGCTCGGCCGTCAAGGGGAGGTTCAGCTGTTCTATTCACAGGAATACGCCCACGATAATCAGTGCACCATGCTGGTGCGGTCGTTCGATCAGGGGTCGTCGTGGTCCCAGCCGGAATGTCTCGAGGGGATCAACGATCGGATCCGCGATGGCATGACTGGAATCGCGTCGACCGTCGACAATGGCCGCGAGGCACTGGTGATGGTCTTCGAGACGACGCGGTACGGCACATTCAATCTCGAGGCATTGATCTCGTATGATGACGGCCTCACCTGGGGATGGCGGCATGAAGTGTATGTGCCGCCACGAGGCCACAATGCCGGAGCGCCGCAGATTGCATCCTTTGCAGACGGCTCATTGGCGGTGATTTTCATGACGGACGAAGATGAGCAGGACGTGCAGTGGACGAAGAACGCGTGCATCAAGATGGTCTTTGCGGGGCCGCCGCAAGACGGACGTATCTCCTGGACCCGGCCGACGGTGATTTGCCCCCATACGAGTCACTGGCCGGGTGTTTTGGCTCTCGATCATCGTACACTGCTGGCGGTGTATGATTGCGGAGGGCCAAAGGGCAAGACTGTTACATTGCAATAATTTCTCGCATATACACATACATCTTGGACTATAGACTTGGATACAAGTTTTTGGTTTAGACTTGGGAAGATTTAGGATATATATACTCGATTTTTCCCGAGATAATCGAATCACATAGAGAACAATGCGAGACTATGTCATATTCGGCTATGTCGCCTTTACATTTAACCTAAGTATTTGTTATGTCGTTCGTTGGACGTAGAGATCGCCCTCTTCGTGGAGAATGCGTATCACTGTTGTGATGTCTCTAAACAATAATTCTGTGGCCAACTGGCAAGCCTTCGATTAGTCATCCTCGGAGACTTTCTTGGGCCGATTTTCCTCCGAGTCTCCGCCTGCTGATTAAGGCATCAATCTGGATGCTCCACTGTGGTACGTCCAATTTTCGATTTTTCTTCGGCAGAGGCAAAGATTGTACTGGGTTGATGCTTATTTTGCCTTTGTAGGCAATTCTGACACAGAATATGTCCGGTACCTGGGCAATCGATATTGTTGCCACATGTCTACCCAAGGACAGCCACGCGTCACCGAGCGATGGCCGCGATATGCCTCGACTTTGGGCCATTCGGCATTCAGTTTCCAGTCCAGTTCCCCTGAGGAAAGTCTCCACTACTCGGCAAGATTGTAAATCAAGCCTGAAGAAGTGGAGCTATCCTTGGAATTGGTACGTTCTATTGATTTCTGTCCCTACTTCGAGATGTATATAAATAGAGATCCTGCTCATAAGAGTTTCGTACCGACCATCAATACCATTCACAATCGTTACTACAACAAAATGACTGTCGCTGATATCGACGTGCCTCCTGCCGAGGGCATCCCCTACTTCACTCCGGCCCAGAGCCCTCCTGCTGGTACGGCAGCTAATCCCCAGACGAATGGCCAGAAGATCCCCAAGCTCTTCACACCGTTGACCATCCGTGGCGTCACCTTCCAGAACCGCCTTGGTGTAAGTCCTTTTGCCCTTGTTCATATCGATGAAAGCTAATTCCCTTCAGCTGGCACCTCTTTGCCAATACTCCGCCCAGGATGGCCACATGACCGACTACCACATCGCCCATCTGGGTGGGATCGCGCAACGCGGACCAGGCCTGATGATGATTGAGGCGACCTCCGTCCAGCCCGAAGGCCGCATCACCCCTCAGGATGTCGGTCTGTGGAAGGACTCGCAGATCGCCGCCATGCGCCGGGTCATCGACTTTGTGCACAGCCAAGGCCAGAAGATCGGCGTGCAGCTCGCCCACGCCGGCCGCAAAGCCACCACCGTTGCTCCCTGGATCTCGTTCTCTGCCATTGCGACAGAGAAGGTCGGCGGATGGCCGGATCGTGTCAAGGGGCCGAGCGATATCCCCTTTGCGGAGCCCT